AATCCCCAACTTGTAAGGATACAGTTGGTATAGTTAGAGGCACATTAATTCCTATTTTTCTCTGGCACAGCTTTGGTGAAAAGAGTAATAATCCAGGCACACTTGGTTAACTATGGTTAACAATACATCCAATAATTCTAATTTAATTGATGATATACTTATAAACACTATTTGAAACACCCTGATCTAAAGTGTTACCAATGAATTTGTGCTTTGAAGAGTCATAGGAAAAATGATCTGCTCTACATTTACATTTCTTTTCACATATGCAGAACTGTGTGGGCAATCCCTTTGTAATTTGATTGGAAATTAGCTCTGGTGTGAACAGTTGTCTTCCAAAACACACAACTCTATCTGCATTCAATTGTATTGATTCTGTTGTATTTCTGAGTGAAAACAGCTGTTCCTGTAGGTCTCCTGTGGTGGGTAGTGCATTTCTTAAGGATAAATGCTAGGATACAATTTTGGAATGGCACAGACCAGAAAATGGATATAAAAATATAAACTTCAGTCTTGAAACACAGTCAATATTATCATTCAGAAGAATATGGAATATTGCACCACAAAGACCTTGTCTAGATTAGGTCGTCTCTCCAAAATGGATGATCAAGCAAGGAGGAGACTAATCAGAGAGGCACCAAAAATTCAACAGCAACATGAAGGACTTGCAGGCCTTTAAGTCAAAGACTGGTCACTGTGTACATGTCACATCTCAGGCTCTCCTCTAGTCTAGGCTGTATGGGAGGGTTGCAAGAAAACCACTACTCGGTACAGCCCACATTAAGTCTCGTTTGAGGTATGCAAAACAACACTGTGATGATTCTGAATAAAAAAAAAAGTTTTGTGTATGATGAAACCAGGATAGAACTTTTTGGTTTAAAACCAAAGAATACAGCACATCACCCAGAGAACACCATCCATACTGGAAGACATGGTGGAGGCAACCTTTCTGTTACAGGTGTGTCTCTATGCAGCATGGACTAGGACCAGTGGCAGATTAAGGTGATCAGAGGCCCCTAGGCTGCGTCCCCTAAAAGGCAGCCCTTGCTCTGCTAAAAACTTCACCACTGCAACCACCCTTTTCAAAACGTTTCTCCAATACTCATATTTATTGTCAAACTGTCTTTTTAGTTCTGAATCTATTAGACCATTATCAGCACAGCACATAACGTATAGAACCATAGCCTTTATATGGCACTCCGACACTTCGCCTTCAGCCAAGCGTGCGGCTGCATTTTTCCAGTCACTATAGCCTATGGTCAGTCTGGACTGATTATCTCTGTCCCCAAATTTACACCCAAAACAAAACACCGCACCTTTCGATGGGGAATGCAGCAGCCATTCTTTTGACACACACTCACTTTTTCTGAATTTTCTTTTGAAGAGGGTTTTAGAAAAATACAACAAAATAGAGGTTTGTTGTCTTTCCGATGCTACAACATCCACGTCTTGGTTTTGACACGATTTTGGGCCCAATTTTGCCCACTATGGCTGCATCTGTTAATTTATTTTACCCCAGCATGCCAGGTCCAAGCTATAGGAAGCAGAAGCTGGTGTTGCAGCCTCTGTTAGCTCCACGGCATCAGGTGCAACAGCAATGGCGGCAGATGGTGGTGGCATTTCAGATGGCGCTGCTTCTGACTCATGTTCCATTTATTCCGTTGCGGGAGCTGTCGTCCTCACGATCGGCGTTGATGTAGACTGCGTCCAGGCTAGAGCTAAGTGCAGCTAACTTTTCAACTGCAGTTGTTGTAGCACTGGCTGCAACATTAGCCGTAAACTCAGGATCAGGGTCCGGCTCTGCAAACTTGAAATAACCAGTCAATCTGGGGATCTTTTTAAGAAGATCCTGCTCACACTGCTGTTTTAACCACCGTTCTTTTCGTTTTTTTCGCCCCACTATCATATTTTCTACCACACATTTTGAGGCGGGCTACCGTAAACTTGCACCAGAAATCAGATGATGAATCTGCCAAAATAAATTTGAACTGCGAACCCATTGCATCTTACCAATCATTGGTTCACAAATTATTCAATGTTTTTATTGGGCCCACAGGTCTGTTTTAAAAAAAAATACTCTGGCCAATCAGGAGTCCCTGATCGGGCCCACAGGTCCGTTTAAAAAAATGTAGGTGTGCTACATTGATACAGACCTATTCAAACAGAATTCTAGTCTAACTCAGGAGTGTGTAAACTTAACATTTTTCTAGGTTTCCATTTGCAATTACATTTCAGAATGTTTGGACATTTGTTTTATATTTCACAATTTTTCATTAGTTTGCATTGCAAAATAAAGTGTAAATAAAGGTTAAATAAATTCTGATTCTTGATTTCAGGCTGTTAGGCCACAAAATGTGTTACTTAGGAAAGGGTGTGTAGACTTTCTATAGGCACTGTATATCATCATCTATAAATGTCTTGAGTAATTAAATTTTCCAATATCCTCTAACAGTGGTAACAGATTAGTTAATTTACGTCAGAGCATAAGGTTATAATTGGTAAAACCCATATCTACAAAATTAACTACCTGGTTTATTATCTTTTTTACAATGTGTGAAATAATCATGAAAGATGCTCACAATATTTTTTATTTGGCACCTTATGACAGCAAGAAGTTTTTAATGTAACGAGTCTGGTGTGATCATATGGTAAAACTGAATACATTGACACTGTAGAATTTTTTTTTATTTTTGGAAATAAAAGTTTCCAACAAATCTCTAATTGTATGCAACCTGTCATCAGCTGAAACCATTCAATGTAATGTAGCTATAATTAGAAAATGCTACAGCAAAGGATGTCAGTTGAATAAAATAACTTGGGTGTGAACTTTTTAAAGTATTCTTGTCACAAAATACAGCACAGTTCTCGTCTTCTTTTTTTCATTGCTACTACCTTCACAAACACACCAGCACTATAAAGCTGGCACACATTCAGGAGATATACACTTGCAGACCAGATCTTCTGAAGTCCAATTTCATAAATAGCACAAAAATATTCCTCATTTTACATTGCTTTTGATTTTAGTTTGCAATAAAATGGAAAATAAAGTCTGGGAACAAAACCCCAATAATTGGCGGTAATCCACTTGCCAAATTCTCTCACCTTAGCTTTGCAAGCTGAAGTGCATAACATCAAAAGGGGGGCATAAAAAGATGCAAAGTACCTTCCTGCTCAATAAAACCTTAAAAAATATATTACTGATATAAACCTTTCAGAAAAAAACACACATTATTGGCTTCTATTTCTCATATTAATCTTTAAGCTACTAAGAACATAAAGATGACAAATAAAAGGAAACTATTCAGTCCAACTAGCACATTTGATATTAGTTAACTTTTTCCTTTTATCCATTTTTCTTAGAGAAGGCCAGGGGATAGGATTCATATAGTTTGGTAGTTTGTTCCATATTCTGGAAATGAAATAAGTGCCTCCTGTTTTGAGTTATTTACACATCTTTGAAAAATCTAACAAAATATTATTATTAAGTGGAAATCTTAATAAAAGAAAAATCTTGTTAGTACATTTACACTGCATTGGGAACCCTTATGATTTTAAAACAGCGCAAATGATTTTCAAACATAGCAAATCCCCATATACAAAAAGCAAAAATTAACACAGCAGCAAAGGCGCCCTGCTTTTAAAAGAGACCAACAATGTAGAGTAACATGCCTCTGAGTAAGTCAAGTAGGGAGCTGCGTCAGTATGCGTAGGCTACAAAGTGACAAGTATAGGTTTATTTCCTGCTGAAAAGAGAAGAAAAGAGACACAATGTTACGGCTGTGGAGCCTTCCACCGTTTTCTCACACCCAAAGAAGGCTCCACAGCCGTAACATTGTGTCTCTTTTCTTCTCTTTTCAGCAGGAAATAAACCTATACTTGTTTCTTTGCTGCCTCTGAGTAAGGTTGTTCTCACTGTTGGATTGATTAACCTAAATTAAGATGAGGAAAATCACATCACATTTGTTAACAGAAGATGCACTCAATATGTAAAAAAGTGGCTTGGATTACAAAACGTTTAAAAATTCTATATAGCTGAGTGTAATATTTATCATTGTGGTGGTAAAAAGACTCATTTTCAAAATTCAAATAAACTCTTATTGGGTCTGACAGTGCTATGATAGATCAAATTCACACACCTTTATCACAAATGCAATTTTGTTCAGTGTCAAATTGAAAAGCACTGATATCTATTTGCATTATGCATGATACACCTCAGTGAAATTATGAATTGGTTCAGTGCATATCTTTTCTTGTGTAATTTCCAAAGACAGTGGTACAGGTTGGTTAAGTGATTGTATTTAAAAACACTTGAACTGGGGACTTGCATAAGCTGTTATTTAATATCCTTAATATTCAGACAGAGCAGATGATTACTGGTTTCTGTCAAGATTTTTATAAAAACAGAGCTAACTCTACCGACGTTCTGGAAAAGAATCTGTGTAAACAAGAATATATACATAATACACACAGGTGTATTTATATATTTACAATAGCAAATATGATTATTTGTTTAGTTATAAAAGTCTCTTATTTACATAATTGATCAGTCTCCCATGTTATGGCACAAACAAGTTTTGATTTCATTGCAAACTAATATATACAGAATATAAAGTGGGGCTATTGTCATACAGCTGTTTTAGGCTTTCTTATAAGCAGCTGAACTGGTCCTTCTGTGACCGACTTGATAATGTTCCAGGCATCATAGTGCATGAGGCCTTGCAGGGATCGTCCATTGATGGCCAAGACCTCATCTCCAACCTCTATAGCTCCAGATAACTCAGCAGCGCCGCCTGTGGGCAACACAGGAATTGTTTTAGCACATTAAAAGGTCAGGGGTCAAGATGCATGCTTGAAAATATTATCTAAAGAATATGCAAAGTTGAAGGCACATAATTATTTGCCCATTCAAAGATGGGCATCAATAAAGAACGGAGTCATCAGGCAAATTTGAACTTCAAACCATTTTATATTTAGTTTTTTCCAAAAAAAATGTTTTTCCTCTGACAATATCAACACTAGAGATGAAATAATTCAATTAACGTGAATTGTTAATACAACATTTTGTCCTGAAGGAATTGACTTTTTTTTTAAAGTGTGGACATTACAGATGAAAAGATTTCTGCAATCCTTCATTATGCTTTGAGAATGTCTCCATCTATAGGTCACATGTAAAATGCAGCCTTTAAATTTCAGGAAGTGAAAGTTACCTTGCCTGTTTGAACTACAAAATGAGCTATTTGTTTCAACATCAACAGGCAGTGCTTTTGCCCAATGATGAGCCCAGTAACCTCATTTGATGTTAAGATGGGCACATTTTATTCATGGTATATGGAAAGTTGTATTTTTTTACTTTCATCATCTGCTGTTTTCTTGCAGGATTAAAGGCTAATATTTTAGCAAATTCATCAGACACTACAGACTAATATTTGCACAGTTGTCAGTTGTCACTATTCACACGGTAATGACCTGTACCCTTTGCATCAGAAGCAATGGCAGCACTGGTGACCTTTAGCTCGTGAGCAGTGTGGCACAGTACCTTTGAATATTCGCTTGATGTTAAGAGGTCTGTCCCCATGCACGGAAGCTTTTCCTCCATCCAAGCTGAAACCGAGGCCTGCCGATGTTTTCTGGAGCTCTACAGTCACAGCACCATCCATAGACATATCCAGGCCTGCATCTGTAAATGTACATGAATTAGTAGTGTTGTGCATTTTTGGATGGTGATATCAGCTCGTTCAAAGAGAAGGTACCATCATGGATATTCATCTTGTGGCACCTTCAGTCCTTGCCACTCCAATAAAGAATACAACCAGCAAAGCTACCAACAGTTATAGTGCAGTTTTGCATTTGTCCTGATAATTATTACTTAGATACAAAACCTAATTATTAAACCCAATTCTGTAATGGGGTGGTTTGGAAGGGTTATCAGTAGACCTGCTATGGTTAGATACATTTATTTATAAACAATATCAAATACAATATGGAAAAGAAATACAAAAAAAAGAAAGTTACCATCTTTGTATTTCAATTCAGACTCTGAATGATAGATTTATTTGAGTATGTCTTTATTGCAGTTTGTTTTAGTGGACATGAATGTGTCCTCCCTCAGATCTAATAATTAATAATAATTATTGCTTACACTTATATAGCACTTTTCTGGACACTCCATTTAAAGTGCTTTACAGGTAATGGGAACTTCCCTCCACTACCACCAATGTGCAGCCCCACCTGGATGATATGACGGCAGCCATAGTGCACCAGAATGCTCACCACACATCAGCTATCAGTGGGGAGGAGAGCAGAGTAATGAAGCCAATTCATAGATGGGGATTATTAGGAGGCCATGATTGGTAAGGGCCAATGGGAAATTTGTTCAGGACGCCGGGGTTACACCCCTACTCTTTTCAAGAAATGTCCTGGAATTTTTAATGACCACAGATCTATTACACTTCTCAAAAATACTCTTACACTTATATTATTTCCTTGATTGTCAGTGTGTGCATATGACATACAGTATGCATTTATTGAAAGCACATTTTGGGGATATATTTTCTTAATGTAAAATGTGAAGATCACCTCATTGGAAAGCTGTTTAATGAGAACATATAAATAACATTATTATTAATAACTAAGGGAAATTTTAAAAATGAAGAGATGTTGCATCAGTTTACTCAGTACATAGACTTGCATTATCCTGCTTCAAAACTATTTAAATGATTTTTTCCACTGAAAGGCAGCAATTATTTACAGTACAGTTGTTGTCAAGAATTGAGAGAAGAATTCATGAAATTTTTAAATTCACAGCGGATGTATCGCTGGCTTGATCCCCCACCTGTTCCTGTTTCTGTTACGGCAACATCTCTTGTGGATTGTGAACGCCTTCCTGTAACACAGGCCACTTCCTGTCTGGGAGACATGGGTTCAGTGTCCTTTCCTTTCTTGATAATGACCACAGCATGCCTTGGTAGCCGGGCCTGGTGGAGCACAGACAGAGCCTCTCCGTGGGAGAAACCTCCTAAGGAAGTTCCATTGATTGAGATAATGTTATCCCCACGTTGAATGGTGCCTTCCAGACTCGCTACTCCACGCAAGAACACTCGGTGAACCTGTTTGACACACAAAACAGCACAGAGCTGAGTTTCAAACGAGTAAAAACTAAATGATAAAATGAATTTGGTCAGTGTGTTACCTTATCAGACACGGAAAATTTTAAGTTTTTTATAAAGTGTATCACTTATTCATATTCTATCCTATTTGTAATGAATAATTTTAGTGTTACCATTCTACTGCAGCTAATACACAAGTACTAAGGAGCCACTTTATCCAGCAGTGCCTGTTTGTCCAGTACACCCAATCGGGCCCATCCAAACAAGTGACCTAGGGAAAAACATTCTGGATTGGTTTATTTAAAAAAAATAATCTCTATAACATAATAATCATTATATTTAAGATTGTCCTCACTTTTTAAGTCCCATTTCACCCTTTGTATTCACAGGATATTTCCTATTATGACCTATCACTGTATACACATAAAATACACTGAAAAGTTATCTTTGTGTAAATTTACTCATTTTATTTAAACAAGGCCTCTGGCAAGCCAGGTTCCTTTCAATGCATAACAGCTTTCTTTAAACTATTTCAAAGCTTGCAATTCCACTTTTCAACTTACAGGGGAGCCAAAGAATATTTTTTTGCATATAAAATTTAGGAACCGGTAAAACTATATTCATAAGACATCTACGTTAATCCTTTCACATACATGCATTTCACCAACTGTCAAACATAAAAAAGTAATTATATAATATGAGGTATAATGGTGGTGGTGCAATGGATCGGTGGCTAGGGATCTGTGTCTGTGGCTGGAAGGTTGCCAGTTCGTATCTTGTAACCAGCAGAGGAATCCTACTGTGTTGGGCCCCTGAGCAAGGCCCTTAACCCCAAATGCTCCAGGGGTGCTGTATAAAATTTCTGACCCTGCACTCTGACCCCAAGCTTCTCTCCCTGTCTGTGTGTCTCATGGAGAGCAAGTTGGGGTAAGTGAAAAGACAATTCCTAATACACGAAATTGATGTGATCTCTTATAATGGTAATACTATTATAATGGTAAAACTATTATAATGGTAAAGCAGGTAATACTAAAAAAGAAGTTAAGGTCTCTTGAGATAAGCAATTGAATCTATATATTACTACATCAGATAATTTTCTAGCATGAACGCTGTAGGTTTAGTCAGTATAGAAATTTCAGTGTCATCCTTAGAACAATGAATATGAAACTGGGTTGCCAAATAGACACACATATATATATATACTAAATAACATGGACAATGAAACCCACAGCATCTTTAAGTCAAATCACCCAGTAAAAGAAAATGCTGGTGATTACATACTGTAAATAATATTCATACCAACAAAGACCTGTAACACCTGCAAAAAAATCCATTCAGCTTGTTTACAATGTAATAGGGCCGATTCACTTCATGGGAAGTTTTGTTGCCTTGTTGTGAATCGCAAACATGGCACTGTGCATACTTGGAAATGTTGTGATGTTAGGGGTTTTATAAGTTATTGTGTACATTTAACTTTTATTGTGGCTTGAAATGCACTCATCAATGCAGATTCTTTCTAACCCCAGAACATAAAAAGAGTGTTGCAGTTCCCCTTTATTCCATTTGAGCTGCTATTTAAAAAAAGGTATAATGAACCTACTAAAAACTAGAAATCATGTTACAGTTTGGCTCTCTGTAAATCCAAGAAGACATTTACAAAAATATCCCCAAATTCCCTAATATGATAAGCCCATCCGACACTAGCAGAATATTGATTCTTGGAATTTACCAAGTACACCAAGTACTTTAGTATAACACAATGTTCAAACAAAATTCACCAATACCGGACAGCCACACTAACACATTGAATCATACATATGCACACCCGGTTACGCATGAGTCACTTACAGTTATTGATTTCTGCTCCAAATCAACTCCCCCAGCAATACTGAAGCCTAAACCAGCACCTTCTTCTTTTATCAAGACCACAAAGTAAATATCATCTTTAACCTGTGAGAACAGGGAAAAAAACAACATAAAAAACAGACCACAAAATAGCTCTTGCATGACACTCTTTTTAACTTATCTTCTTTCAGGATCAAAAATGACTAACTACAATATTTATAACAAAAACAAAAATAATGACTCTTCAGTGACTCACTGTTTTTCTATTTTTCACTTACTTGATTTAAGAGTTCTCTGAAGGACATAAGGGATAGTTACACTGTTAGCACTTCAAATCTAAATTAAAACCTACGTTTTATACATTGGCTTTATTCTGTGATGTAGTAATAGTTGATTATTCTAAGCTATTGAGTTTGATTACAGGCTGGGGCACATTCTGTGAGGAGTCTGCAGGTTCTCCATGCATTGGAATGGGTTTTCTCTGGTTAATCTGATTAACACTCACTTCCTTATTACATTGCTGTTTTACTAGTGTCCTAAACTGTCTATGTGCAAGTTGTAATTGGTATCGTTTTAAAGAAAAAAGAATAAATAATAAATAAACCACTCCACATATACAATAGTGAGGCATCCCATTGTTAGTAACCTTTAAATAAACAGGAATTATACAATGAAGTATAATGTAATGACATTCTCAGTGTTTCACACTTGAAGCGAATATGAATATAGCAAATTGTCAGTTTATTCCTTTGTTGTGTAATATTTACTTCAAAGAAAGGTAGATTTTTTTAGGAATGATAAAAAGGTACAGAAATAATCTTTTTGTTATTACTATCTATTACTCTTTAGATTATGGAGGAATCCAATAAACACTTGCCATTGGTAATTATGCATTAACCTTTGACATTAAGTTTTGTTTCAGTCAATTCAAATGCACTCAGCTTGGATCTCCTGTTATTATAACCGGCAGCGCATGTATGCACAAGTATTCCTCTGCTGAAAGCAGGGATTTGATAGTCACCCTGGATATAATAAGTCTTCAATTCAAAGGCATGTTAGTTTAGGCACTGTTTATGTTCAACTTGAAGGAATTAATTCAAGGACCAGTCCAAGTGTTGTGACTAAGTCTAGAACAATCTACCCAGCCATATGGTTGAAGACGATACACTAGTTTCCGTAAAGAAACAGATGTACTAGATACTGATCAATCAATCTACTAACAATCAAACAAGTAAGATGGGATGAATGGTTCCTCTAATTTGTCACTTTTAACTGAAAGGTTACAATGACAGAGATGCAAAAGCTTATTTGTTCTGTTTATTTCATAATTAACCAAGCTCCAAAGATAAGAAGAAAAACTCTGAATTTTACAGTTTCAAACAATCAATAATAAGAGCAGGTATGATGGAGGTTTACGTAAGCTCAAAGTTTGGTAATTTAAACAAAACAAAGAAAAGGATCCAATTAATCTTTGTCTTGTGGTAGTTCTCCATAACATTGTGGGTCTGGTACAAGTCACTTAACGGTCCTGATATTCCACTTCATAAAAATATGACTACCAAGGATAATTAAAGGGATGCAAGACACATTGAATAAGCTGACTCTGTGGTTTTCCAGCTAACATTTGTGAAAAATGTTTCACTTTTTTGATGTTTCCATATTGCTCACAACCAAGAGCACATGATACAAGATGATCTGGTAGGGAAGTTTAAGGTACGTTTTGGGGGGCTAATTCATAAGGAGAAAAAAAACAAAAGATTCTCAAAAGATATGATTAGAATAAGATTCATTGTTGTGTGAGATGTAGTATAGATGTTAGCCATAGTCTTGTGTTCTGTTTACCTCTGCCTGAGTCTTGGCTTCCTGAATTAGGGTCCACACATCTAGTTTATCCTTCACAGAGGTGAGAATACTCTGCAGCTTGTTTTGATCAATGGTGGAGATGGATAACTCCCTTAAACTAAAAGAAAATAAAAAATAAAAATTCCTTAAAAGTAAAAACATCACAATCTCTCAAGTTTAAAAAACAACAACACCTGGACATTAAATGATGGACTTTGTCACAGCTGACTATGAAATCGATAGACATACTGTACAAATTGTGGTTATCTTATATAAGACTCTTTATATTCACAGGATATAGAAATAGTGAAAAGAAATTAATATATTTTAAAAAAGCCAAAATGAAAATTTTTCTATTACCTCATATCCATTTATTAGGCAAGAATTTTGAATGTAATAATGCATGCCCATCAATATTGCAGTGAATACTCTTCACAGTTTTAGTATTGTATAGACAACTTTTGTTTTTTTTTTCATATAAGAAAGCTTATAAAAGAAAGCTTAAGGGTAAACCTTTCTCCTCAAATATCTTAAATATAAAATGTCTTGATATTGTGAAGCATTTTTGCATGAAGCAATCCATTTCTTATTAAGTGCATGTTAAAAGCAAATGAAGTTAATACATTCATAGCATATTCTACATTAATTCAAATTGTTTTCCTTAATAAATATTAATTATGTATGAACATACATTTACTATAAAGTATCAACAGTTAAATGATTCATTTTTCATATACTATTAAAACCCATACTTGTGCCTATATGTCAGGGTAATGGAAATGGTGATTACATTAACAACTAAAAGCAATACCTATAGTTTGCCAAATCCTAGTCCTCTAGCTGGTGTTTGTTCTTTTTTCCCAGGTTGTTGCAGCCACACTGGCTTGGTCAAGAATTTTCAAGTTTTCTGTGGCCTGGCGTACTCTCATATCAACTCAAGCCATCTGGCTTATGAGCATGAAAGGGTAATTTCCAGAATTCAGGCAAATACAGTAGGTCCCAGAGCAGTAACATTAACCAAAGAAAATATGTTGTTCACTGGTATTCAATAACTAAACTGGTATCTATATTCACTGATTTTGCCAGCAAAAAAGCAGGCTTAACTCAATGCATGCAGAAACGCAAATTCTGTGGTTTTTCTACTACTACTTTTCTACTAGTGTTTATCATCTAAATAGCTAAATACTCATAACTGCCCTCTGAGGTCCGACAAAAACACCCTCTATACACTCTACTGCTCAAAACAAACTCTCTTAGTGACCTGTATTTTTTTGCTAGCTTAGGAAGCATGTGACAACTTAATGATAGTGGAATGTGTACCTGAATCCCACAGATCTTTATCATGACCACAACCTCGACTGCAAGCAGTCCTTTAAAAAAAGTCTTGAAAAGACATTACGGAATACCTACAATTCCAAGTTCAAGTATTTCCTGTTGCGCACAACACATTCTGTGCAGGTTCCTAATATTTTGACCAGTGTGAGTAGTCGATGAACTGTTTAAACCCAGAGCTCTTTGTAAGTATGAGGGGATACAGCTGATTAGAACTTTAACACATTGTTCACACTAGCACAAAAACTTGTAGAAATTCTTGTAACTGATGCTTGGCAAACTTGAGCAATTATTTTCAGTAACACAATTCGTTAAACTTTAAAAAACATTTTAAGGCTTTGATCTCCTTAACTACATTGTTAAGCGTTTCCAGTCCTGATCAAGATTTCCTTTAAACTGTAAACCATTTTTTATTACAAAATCTTGCAATGTACAAAGAATTCCATGTTTGTTCAGGAGATCAGGAATGTGCATATTTACAGAATTGTTTTGTCAGCAGTACTGAGTGTGTGAACTGAAACATTCATCCCACTCATAATGATGAAACAGTAACCCCACTCTATGATGATTAAAAAACAAGTCTAATAAATACAGATATACTTTTGTCCAAACCACAATTTTCAAACATTTTGAAATAATGGATATTGTTTAATGTTTTTCCAGACTGCTTCCTTGCAATGAATTTTCCTGAGCCAAAACACAGTACTTTCCAAATCTGTTCTGGGTCATTTCAATGTCATACCTCAAGAGGTTTACTTCTTTTCCATTGTAAATATCCAGGTTATCTTACATTATGAAAGTAAACTTTCACAAAATCTAAAAGCTGAAGTTTTCCATATTGGGTACTGATGAATTAATGAGGGTACTGTCTGGGTGGAATTTGATATTCATTTTCCTGAGAAAAACAATAATGTGTTGCAATCTAAAACTGGTCAGCATAAGGGAGAAGGCTCACTAGCACTTCAGATATATGTAACTGAATATGGAATATAAAAATATAGATAATATAAACATCCATCCCACTCACCTGACTGACCAGCTCTTATCTGAAGACTCTGCCTCATGGGCCTTGTTCTGAGAAGGTTCTTCATCAAAGCCCAATCCATGGTTCCCCACATTTCTGGTGAAACCAGACAATGTGCTTTCAGTCACTTTCATGACATCTGAACCACTGGAGGCTACAGAGTGCAAATTATTAAGACCTTCTGCCGGGTTCCCTAGGCACCTCCTCGGTGTGACTTCAAGTTCAGTTTTGAAAGTAGCAATGCCAGTTTCATTGGAAAAATCCTCAGTGCAAAGCTTGTCAAGGTCAGGCATACTTAATGCCCTGAGTTCTCTTAGTCTGGAGCGAGACAAGCCAGAGCGATCCCTTATGTTCCTGATTCTGGTTACAGGAGGAGTTTGTGGTATGCTGACATACTCACTTTCCGGTACAACACTCATAGCCTTCTCTTCTGCATTTGATTCCATGGGATTCTTTGTAGTTGGTGTTTCAAAATTTAACAGAGCCATACTGGATGGAGATTTCCTCAGATGCTGTGGAGAATTAACTGGAGCTTCACTGGAATTGTCAGCACAGGAGCTTAAACTCCTTCTCAAGGAGCGACAACCATCCATTGAATGGACACTTGTTGGCACTACATACCCTAAGGACCTCCTACACATCAGAGGTTTGGAAGTGGCAGCATAGGACTGAATATCAATGGTCCGAATAACTGGTTTGTCAAAACTGGCCAGGTTCTCAAAAGACTTGATTCTTTGTCTAACAGAAAAAGAGTTGTGGTCTGGGGGAGCACTAGTTTCAATGGAGTAACTTTTTCTGTCGGACTTCATAACCTCCTGCCTGGACCTGACTGCCTTGACTTGCTCATCAATTTCCATTTTTGTAGGACTTTTAAAAACATCAATGGACTGGCTGTGGATAAAATAGATGTCGTTGCTTGCTGAACCCTGTTGAGTTGTCTCTTCTGCTATATTGTCTGTTTTAGTGCCAACTTCTTCTGTATTAACATAAAGACTAGGAGGGTTGCCATGTCTTTCCCGAGTACTGAGTATTGACTCTTCTTGGTTTCCACTACTGCACAAATCCTTCTGTGTTAAAAGACTTGTTACAGTATGCTTAGGGGATAAACTTGTTGTACTTATAGATTTAGAAGATTGGGAAGCTGTATCCTGCATAGGAGGATCTGCAGGTTTTTGAGGAGTCTCCTTACGCCCTAAAATAGGCGTGGACGTTAAAGATGATGGTAAGGAAGAGGATGAAAGTCGCACTTCAATGAAACTTCTTTGTGTTGTAAAAGTTTCAGCTGGTTCCTTGGGTTTCGGCACTGTTTGAGAAAATTGCTTTTCTTGTGATATGGTTGTTTCTTCATTCCCCTGACCAGGTATAAATTCTTCCCTTTGTGGTTCAGAACCCGAATCACTCACCTTGGGTTTGGAACTATCTTTGAAGGAGGTGTCCAGATCAGCCGACTTCTTGTCTTGCCTCTGCTGACAAGATTTTGGCAATGTACCATTTTTCTCTGTCTGCTTACCTGTCTTTAAGCTACATGCTAAGAAAACTCTCTTGGGTTGAACTTTTGGAGACTGAATGAGGGATGTTTGCTGTTTCTTCTGAGAAACACCTTCAGACTTTGAAGGTTTTGTTGTAGATGGATCTTGTACCTTGTTTTTACTTTTAATACTTAAGCCCTTCAGCTTGGGTGCTGTGTTTGCTTTCTGGCTTTTATCCTGGAGTTTGCTCCTACTACTTGTCTGTGACAAACTGGTACTTTCATAATGCATTTTCATTCCTGAGGTCCTAGGTAAGGGACTAGAGGAAATAGTTTGTAATTGTGAAGCATCCATTTTTGTTTCTAGAGGAAATGCCTTATCTTTCTCTCTGTCTTTTAATGCGAGTGCTGTAAGAATTCCCTCCCCCGATTTGGAATTGCTATAAAGGGAGTTCTTCATCACTGGGGCAGATGTTTGTGATGAGACATGATTACTAGATTTATTCGAAGGTACTGATGAATTTGTTTGAAGCTTTAAAACAGAATCTTGAGATCTTGGGACACTGTGGGAGATTGAATGAATGCAAGCAGAGCTTCCAGCATTACGTTGACTTGGAGAAGCAGGTTCTACCCCTTTATTAGATGAACAGTTAACTTTTTTGCCACTCTCTTCTGATAACACACTTGGGTTGTCTGGGGAAATGTCTCTGTTGGACGGACAAACCATTTCTTCATCTTTCATGAAGCGGTTTCTTTCTGAATTTCCATTGTTTTTTCCAGCACTGTCAGAGTCAGAAGATAATGTGCATTGCAATTGTAAAGTTTCAGAACGAATGGGAACTTCTTTGTCTGTCTGACATAGAGAAGCCGGGTTTGAGCAAGACCTTTTTTGCAGTGAAAAAGGTAACACTTCTTGATTTGCTTCAAAGGAATGTGCTTTCTTTATACTAAGAGAGTTTGAATTCTCATGCTGAGGCATTACATTTTGAACCCTTTCTTCAACTTTTAGTGCCTCAGACTGGTTCAGAGAGCTCGAGTTATGCGTTTCATTGTAACAGATCTCAACGTGTTCCTCATCTGAGTCTGTTATCTGAAGATCCGTGTACTGGTTGGGATCACGACTATGTGGTTTTTCCACATGGTGTCCATTTTCAGTAGCAGAATCTGTTTCTGAGTCACTATCATCTACTGTACTGTACATAGATTTAGGAGCTAATGAAACATTTTCTTCATTTACACCATTTGGAATACAAGTTGCGTCTTCACTCAAATTACTGAAGTTCCTGGAGTAGCTATTTAAGAATGTTTTACTGACCGTCAAAAGCCGGCCTTTATTCCCAGAATCCAAAACGGAAAAATCCAATGTATTTCGTTGCAAATGACCCAACTTGCAATCATTTTCCTGCATTTTACTGCCATCTAATATTTTTGAAGTACTTCTTTCTTCACATAAATCTGGGCTTGCATTTGTATCCACTGCATGAAGAACCCCTTCATCTGTTGCACTTAGTTCAGTTATATAGTCATCAATATAGGTGACAGGAATATCATTCTTATGGCTTGTCTTTTCACAGTTTTTTAAACAGGTCTGAGAATCTAAATGTTCATGTGTAGATAGCTCATTTTCTGTACTAACAGGCTCTTTCCTAGTCAAATCTTCAACATTCTCCTCAGAAATGAAAGTCTTGGAGGAATCCATTCTGGAACTTCCATCGGTGCTTGATGACATAATTATGCTAGACAATCGATCTACAGCTGTGGAGGGGAAATGAAAAATAATATTCAATTACAAGACATATTCCAAATAAAATAATGAAGGAATTTAAAGACTGGGTGGTTAAACCTGGAGGGATACAAACAACATTTTTGCTGTATTGCACGAATACACTCCTGAAGACTGACCCACACATCTTTCTTTTCATTGGGTATTGTAGGTTCAAGTACTCTAATTTTAGATACAAAAACCAGCAAAACATTCAAGGAAGAAAACAGGAATTTTCTTTAAATTTTTTTAAATTTTCTTAAAAGGTTAGATGAAGAAATACTTCACATTATACACTGTATGAAGTTGTGAGATTTTCATATGTCAGAAATAGTTTTCATATTCCAGAACATTAAATGTTAAATGTGTTTCATATTATTAATCACCATAATTATATTAGCCAAACCAGACAATAGGATGTGACAGACCTTGTTACAGCAGGTGGTTGAAAAATTATTTTCAAATTAATGAACTCCTTGCATGAAAGTTAAAATTTTATTATATTATTTTCTCCATACATGCATCTGGACTTTATCAAAGAAAACAGCCAATGCACACCTCAGTGACATTAACATTAAGATTTTAGCTTTTCTAACTTACTTAATTTTAAGTTTTCTTTAGCTTCCTTGCAGCTACTGCTTCGGATTTCCAAAATATTCGACAATTTATTTCACCATTGCAAGGTAGAAGTTATTTTATTTTCTATGTAACACATGACATTTAAAAAGTATGGAAGATGTTATTAGAAACAGATGCAGATTAATGCAATTAATGAAAGAGATGCAATTAACTTTGAGACCTCAAAATACCCAGACACATTCTTTAACATAAATCAAATTCCCCCAGTAGATATCTATGGGTTACTTAGACTCCACTTCCTGTACGTGTCCTTATGTAATAAATAAATAGCAATAGCAATAAGCGACATTTTCTTGACAACCTTCCACGTTTCCTGCCTAAACATATTTTGTGATTGTATTAAACAAAACAGAGTAACCTTTATTTTTTCTGTGATTCCTACAGAGATCCTCCTTGCTGATAATTTACTGTTCGACCTGTGAGGTTGTACTCAAAAATTAAATCACAATGATCTTTTAACTTTTGTTTTTTTCTTCCTTATGTAATGTAAATGAGTCCAGTACATGAAGATGTGTGCCATAAACAGTTTTCAACTGAACAGTGGTAAAAAAGGAATATGATTAAGGTAACGGTCTATGCATTCACATTTTTGTGCATATTCCTGAACATCTATCTGAAAGTATACATATAGAACAGGGTACTGCTTTCTTGGAAATAGAATACTTATGTCTCAGAAAATATGTATTTTTTATTTAAAACATATATATATTATTTTTCAGTCTAATAATTTTTAGATACTTATAATATATAAGTATATAAAATAACATTTTTTATTGCAGTAAACTCTTTTTGTCTCATATGGATTAGCAAGGGCTTATGGAAGTAGAAATTCAGCATAGCAATGGTATCTTCATGGACAAATTAAGACATTAAGTCACTGCAGATACTGTCCGATATCCCAATACTTATGTAAGGGAGACAGCTTTGGAGTTTTTTATTTGCTTGCCTACTGAAGAAACCTGATGAAATCCTTCTTCCCCTTGATATCCATGGATATAGGCAAAAAACAGCCTCTTCTCAATTCCCCGTTATGAAAAAGAAAAACCCTCCATTACATAAATTTACTTTACTTAACTTTCATCTTCTCACTCAAGAGAAAACTGGTGATTGGCTTTTTTAAAATAAAACCTGTCTATTCAAGGAAGGAAGTCTTCATATATGGTGCACAGTCTTCTGTACATCCCAACCATGTACCAACAGTTTGTGTGATGTTCTCTTACAGTTAGAAATGTCATTTTACTTGAAACCAGAAACTTTGCAGGAGATGAAAATTATATATCCATCCATTTTCTAACTTCCAGTTCAGGGTTGTGGGGGAGCTGGGGCCTACCTGAGCAAGTAACAGATACAGGGCGGGGTACACCCTTGGCAGGACACCAGTCATTCTCAGGGCAGACAGACACAAACGCAATCACACACATTCACACTAGAGCCAATTTTTCCAGAAGCCGATTAACCTACCAGTATGTTTTGTATTTTTATAGTTATTATATAATTTTTTAGTAATGAAAACAATTAATGTTATGAAAAAAATAGAGGATAAAACATTTATTTCGTTTAAGGTTCAATTAAATGGATAGGAGGGTCTCCATTATAGAGTTATAGAGTCTCCACAAATGGGACAACATCTTCAGAATATCTGATACCAGAGGCAGGTCCTTTGTGAAGAGATTGATCCAATCCTACACATGGACTAAGCAGAGGGTCTTCCAATATTTTTAATTAAAAATACTACAATTGTGCTCCTGAATGCAATACAATACAGCAAAGAAAGCAACACAGGGTATTAAGTATAACTTTAAAAAAGAGAAAGTAAATGTATCTTCCCATATTTCTTAAAAACAAAAGAAATCAGATTAATTCTACCAGGGACCACATCAAACCATCACTCAAACCAAAAGACACTATCAGCAAAGATTTCCCTTCACTTGGGGATCAAAACACAAAACTAATAATAATGATAGAACTACCGCACAACACACCTGGCTTTTGAGCAACTATAAAATGCATACAGAACTACCTCACATTCTGGAGCAGCCAATGTCAGCAAGAGTCTAAAAGAATTCATGGAGGAACACAATGCCTTCATCAGACATCCCAGACTACAGATGCAAAAGCATAAACCTTCATTACGAAATGCATACATTCAGCTCAAATGCAGCCTGGAAATAATCTATGCACAAAAATTGTAGCAGCTTCCTACCAGGTCTTTATAAATCCTGTCCACTATTTAAAATCACATTACAAGCAGCCTAAATACATATTTTTAAACACAATGCATAAAGAAGGCAGGATATCAAAATATCAGACCCTAACGCCAAAGACCTCCACCTGATACCAGTCCCTAGAGATACCTGGAGAGAAGGCCAGAACACTGCTTTACTTACCCTAAGTGGTGATGGAGAAGAAAGAAAATAGTGTACCGCAATTACAAACACAGAAATATTAAATGATTATTATCACAATAAATGAATAAAATAATGAAATAATCACCATTGAAACAAAGGCAGCTGCTTGCAGTTCCCTTTCTGGCGGAGAAGGGTACTGCCAGCATGGAAAAGCCTGTTGTGCTCCTACTTCATTGCGCAGCATGGAGAAAGACAGATTGACCTCTTTATTTTCAACCGTGTAGGCTCCAAATAGACTCAAATGCTATTATGCTGATCTTTGCTACAGAAAGGTAGCTCTAATGAGTAACATTCTACATGGTTCAAATCAACTCAAATTCATAAAGGAGAATCCAGTTTCAATATCTGAGGTGTACAAAAATGTATTTTTCAACATGTAGAAAATGTCAAAATGTCAAAAGAATATAACGGAGCACTACAGACTCTTTAGGAAAGGAAAGTACAGTATACAGGACGTCTACAGATAGATCACATTTACTGTGATCAGAACATTACAGAACATTTGGGATTAGAAGCTTTTCTTGTTAATAGTAGTAAGAAAAGCAATATATTTTGTGTACTCACATACTGAGTTTTGCCTTTTATTTGAAATGCAATTTAAATGTTTAATAGTTATTTAATTATATTTTTTACTGAGATGTTAAATACATGTCACGTAGCGCAAAAAAAAAGATCATGTACAGAACCTACAGACTTACCTGCAGGCTGCAGAAACAAATGTGACAATGCTATTTTAGGGAAAATAACACAGATTTACAAAAAAAATACTTCAGTCCCTATCCAAAAAAATCCCTCTTACACATTACTTTTCTGTAAATGCAATGTTGTCAAAAGATACTGCTGGTTCAACCATCATTTGCATTCATGTTCAGATGATGTGTGGAAATCTCAACATTCCCTATTTTAGAATAATATTATTAGAATAATGATTATAATTAAATTATTATTATAATAGGCAAATCTGAGTCTACCAACAACTTTCAAGTGGAAACATCATCTAACGTCTCGTAAATCTGGATATTTACCAGAAGGAACAAAAAAAAATCTGTTCTTACCTGAAACTGGCTTTTTCACATCTAATGTAAGAGCTACTGGAAGGCTCTGCATGAGGTTACAAACATCCTGATACGATGAGCAGCTGATTGGGGTGCTGCCAATCGATACAATCTCATCACCAATGCTCAGTCTGCCCATAGATTCCTGAAAGTATCATAAAACAGCTGAATAATACAGAAAAGCAATGCCAGATCAACGCAAGTAAAGGGTTAGGTCTGTGGTAATTAAAAGAAAATGACCTATGTACTTAGGAGAGGTTCCAGGACTTTGCTTCCTTTTGTAAAAAAAAAGTAAAATTGAACATTAAATTTGTGATCCACAAAAACTGTGTTGCAATGCAGTTGCAAAGTTCTAAATTGAGAATGTGTTTGCCAGTTGATAAATACTTCATGAATGCAACAAAATCCATACATTTAACTCTTTACGTGATATCATAAAATGGTAATGTATAATAAGAAATCCAGACTCTAAAGTATACATTAAAAGTCAGCTTCAATTCAGAGTCCAGATATTCTTGCAGCTTTCCGACCCTTAAAATGCTGTTCTGTGTTATTTTAATGATAATCCCAGAATATTAAACAATTCTTTAAAAAGGAAATTCCAACTATAGTAACAATTACATTAATAAGAATGTTTTGGAAATTCTATATCTATGCACCTGTCTTTAACATATAATGCGTGTTTATTTTTAAAATGTTTTCTGAAAAAATGCTTCACTGTTGCACTGTTGTGCACAAGGAAATATTCCCAGGGGTTTTAATCAGATGTCTGGTTTATAAATGTGGAACTAAAACTTTATGAATGATTATCATAAAACAAAAGGTTGCTAGCATCTAAAATAAACAAACTGTAATGTAGTTACAGTCATTTCTAATGCTTCATTCCCACCAGTAAATCTTTGATAGCACTGGGAGAGAAATACAGCAAGCATGACGTGACAGATTTCACTTGATGACTAATTCATTATGCAATAAATGTTATATGAGGAACTCAAAAGTCTTCTTATATAAAGCAATGACTCATAACCCAGATCTTGATTGAACATGCACTTTAAAACATAGATAAATATTGCATACTCTCTCAGCGGCACCTCCTGGCCTCAAACCCGTTATCAACACCTTCAGAGGAGAGGACTTGATCTCCAAATCCAAGCCAAAGGACTCTGTCACTTTCCTGTGCAGGACAACTGTTTCTACAGTGTAGGCCCCAGCACAATCGCAGCTTTCAGATTTTCTGCTGTGGGGCAGGGGCCTGGCCACAGGTCTGATCCCCGCCTGGGACTGCTGCTCCTCATTCTTGGGGCGGTGAGGCAAGTTGGGGCACTCGATGCTCATCATACTTTTAACTCGAGTCACAGCTTTGTGCTCCAGTTTGGGAGAGCGCTTGGACTCTAGCTGGCCCTCACGGTGGGGGTCCTTCTTAACCCCCAGGTTGCTGCTCCCAGTGCCACCATCATATTCAAAGGAGCAAATTGGCATGAAGGGAGACTCTGTTCCCAGTGGCGGCTGCTCAGCCCCTCCCCCATCCTCTGACTCCAGGGAGCTGCCGTAGAGAGGTGTCGGAGCCTCGCTGCTGAAGTTCCTGCGCAGCTCTCCCCCATCCTGACTTTCATCGTCCACCTCCACCGAAGAGGTGGCAATGATGATCCCAGAATCCTCCTCTGGCATTCTCTCGCCTTCCGCCCCACCCTGCCTGGTCCTTCTGTACAGAGCCATGGCTCCTGTCTCCTCCACCTGTGGTGGCTCAATCTCTTCATCGCTGACCAAATCCTCATAGCAGATGACGCGGCGTTGCCTAAGCAACGGGCTGCGGATAGATTTGGGACTGCTTCCTAGACTGGCCTGCCGGGCCGCCTCCACGTGCTTGTTCAGGGGCACAGAAGCTCGTCCGCTGCCCGATGGAGAGACGTTGCCTGCATCCACACTGACATAGACTTGCTCCTTGAATGCTGTGAAGAGGAGTAAAATGGTTCTGTGCAAAAACTCTGACACACATAGTATTTAACACATGTGGATGACAGATGTAGGGCTATGGACATTTAAAATGTATTTGCAGTTAGTATTTCTGATGTCATGATGCAAAACACAAAAAAGACATGACCCATTAATTTCCCCGCTAAATGCAAGTTATTTCTTCTGTTTCAGTAACTTATTAATGAGCTGTTAACATATAACCATAAAACAGTTATCCCTCTATTACATCATAATAATCTGTGCCTAGCCTTTGGCAATAAAAAATAAAGATAAAATTATAGGTGACAATTGGTAAAGGGCACTGAAAAAAATGCCAGAAACCAGACAGCTGGCAACCATAATTGCTATAAATCACACTGAAACGTACATGCAGTATACACATATTTTGGACTTGTCAACTAAGAGCTAACTTGTACAAGTAAGATAAAGCAAAAATTAGCAACAAATGCTAAACAACAGATCTGTGGCTCGACAACTGACCTAATAGAACCTATTTTGGCTAAAACATGCAAAAAAAATGATTAGTTTTGTAAAAAAAGCATTCTAAATAATTAAAATTAATCCAACGACTATGAATCAGTGGCATATAGAGTTTTATAGTTGTACCCTAGAAAAGCTGAAAGCATTTGCATGAAAGGATGAGAAGTAATTTCTGAAAATATTTCATAATTATTCATATTAGCCTTTCCTGGCCTGACTCCCTAATGATCTGGAAAATATAGCTGGAAATTGGCAAGTTACATTAAGGTGGAATGAGTAATGTGATATATGAGGTAAGCTTAATATAAAATGCATAATACATTTTCTGTTATCTCTGTATCTTCTGTATTTTTGTTTGTTTGTTTGCTTTGGTCTCTGACTTTTTAAAAAAAATGTTACTAATCTATTTTTATTACTTATATTTCTTTTCTGTTTCAGTATTGAAAGGGCAATAGTTTTCACTAAAAAGTAAAAACAAAAAATTATGTGTTTATAGCTTATATGTTTCATCACTGAAAAACATTTTAAATTCTGAGAGGAGGGATACGTACTTAGGTTAAGGGATGGAGCTATAGTATCGTCCAATGAGGTGCTGCAGCTCTTGTGACGTAGCAGTTCCTCATCACTGGACCCCGTTACCATGGTTTCAGAGAGAGAGGACTGGCTAGGGACATCATGTGAGAAGTACTGAGAGAGTTCTGCTTCTGAACTCAGTGACCCTTGCTGCACACAGTAAAATATAAAAAGTTAATATTATTACAGATTAATACAATTAGAACTTGTCATGTAAAGTAAGTTAGGATTTGATATGTGGCATGTTAAATAGGTAAGGGTTAATATTAATGTTACTTTAAGGGTAATATGATCTAAAACTTCTCATTTGGGACTCTTTATTAACTCTGGACACTAAAGAACACAGCATTTTTTATTTATGAAGTATTTCCCATTTAAAAAATTAAAAGACAATGAAATGAGCAAAAGCATACTGAAATGAACATTTGAATAATATACATGCAGTACCATTAGATTTATGAGATTTGATACTAACATTTCTTGTCAATTTTAAATACAGGAAACTAACATGTACAGGAATCTTTGAAAAGAAAAAAATGGACTTGACTCCTTCTGTGTTCAACCACTGTATCTCTGAACATTACTTTGAAAGTCAAACATTAGGATAGATAACAGATCTTTAGAACATCTGTTATATCTTATTGATATAAATCTAAATATATGGAATTTTTAGGTAACAATTTAAGATTGTTTTACAATGTCAATATCTATTATCTTGAAGTAGTTTAAGTAGGTAGCTGTGGCAGCATGCGTAGGCTGCAAAGGAACAAGTAAAGGTTTATTCCTTTACGCTTGTTTCTTTTCTTCTCTTTTCATCATGGAATAATCTATTAACTTGTATTTTTCAATCTGCATTTTTTGTCTTGTCTAGATGACTCTAGTTACCCGGCTGGCTGGTTCAAGGAAACGTTTCATTGTCCAGCTTAGAGAAGTGGACCCATCGCTTTGCTTAGCTTTCACTGTCGGAGAGGGGCTCTTAGAGGGCAAACCTAAGGAAAGAAAACAAGATTTTAGCTAGATACTAGTAGAACTCTTCCAATGAACATTTGTTGACCAATCAAAAACTCAAATCAAAAAGCATGGCATTATAAGTTTCTACTCCTTTCCCGTAAGTCAAAATGCCCTTCTCCAGGGGAGTGTATCTACAACAGCAAACTTCATATTTTCTAGACAAAAAGTAGGGCTACACTGGGTGACTTTCATAGCCAGTCGAGGTGAGCCAAATCCAAGTTATTTACTAGTGAAGAGACCCTGCACACCTCCACTCTTTTCATGCAAGGAAAAGAGAAGATTCCAGCATAGAACATGATAAAAAACAGTATTGGTAGCAAACAAAAATGACTGGAATAGCTAATGGACACTGATATGGGAATGTACCTATGCTACCACTTTCTTAGCAATGAGGAGGAATTAATAAAATTCTTCAAATCAACTAAGCATGGCAATTTTGCAGCTGTTGAGAAATCCAGCTATGTTTGCAGTCTAAACACATTTCATCATCTGCCTACTTAAATCATGCTTTAATGTTCCCACTTGTGTTCCCTGGTACAACGATGAAGATTAATGATTTGGGGGTTATAAAGTACTTTGAGTTATTCTTCTAGCATTGTTTAGGAGATATACAAACAAACACACATTATTCTGCTGAGTTAGAGCCCATGCTTGACCAATCATCAACACACAGTTTGGCTAAGGTTCCAACTTTCTTCATTCATAATTTTAATAAACGCAAAAGAAAGCTTGAGGGTAAATACAAGACTCCAGGTAGAATCTATGTTTAGTGGTTGAGCGATTCACACAGCTTGTCAGTAATTCTGTGGAGAACAGCAAAATGATCTGGAACAATGGAAGCAAAAAACACATCCTGTATGTATTTTTTTCCTTAGTGTATTCTTTGCAGTAAATATTTGAAATGAGACTTTCAGTCTGTCTTTGTTTTTCAAAACACCTTAAATTAAATACTCCTATATACTTAAGGTATTCTGAACTTGATTTCAACATTTTCACAATTTTCAGTCAGACTGCAATGGTTATTAAGTTACATTTGACTAGTCTTCAAGTTATGTAGTGGCCTATAGTAGCTTTAGAAACACGTTACAATGCAGGTGCGCAAATAAGACTTTAATTACAATCTATTTATATAGTAATTAACAATGTGATGTGCAGTGCTTTAATTACAATCTATTTATATAGTAATTAACAATGTGATGTGCGGTGTTTCAAGTGATATATTCAGTATAAGTTTGTGTGTAAGTATACATATGCCATTATACAGTAACACCAGCATTTGCAGCTAGGAAGGCAGACTATATGTCTCTAGCTTGTGTTGTAATTATATGTTCGCCAATGTGACTTTACAGTATGTGCTGCTACACCTAAGTTACTTAGAATGAGTCTTATTCTTACAGTGTATAATATAGTAGTTTTAGTATATTTAGCATATATTTAAATGTACCGGTATTATGAAGTGTTTCAAAGGCTTTTTTTTTCTTTTGGAGGAACCCACACCTGTACTTTGAATGCTGTTTCCTTCTTTATTTTCACTATTACTTGACACTGTGCTGTGTTGTCTGTGTTAAGCTGCTGTTGCACTGCAATTTCCCTCATGGGATCAATAAAGTATCTATTACTACAACCATGATTATGAACCGAAATGAGAAAGGAAGTCTGTAACAAACATGGCTCATTCAGCAGCGTAGCAACCTCCCATTTTTTACTCTTCACAGCGCGTTAAGGCATCTGTCAAAACTACTACAGTAATAGGACTTGCAATCAAACCCGCTGTCTTTATCAGTGTCAGTTCTCTAATCATGAGTTTACAGCAACTCTTTACATATGGTTGTTCAGTCTATAGAACCATAAATATCTCTCATTTTAACTTCTCACTATTTTCATTAAAGCAGTATTAACCTTAGCTCAGGCTTTAATGTGTTCTTCTCTAAGATTTCATGAACCAATTCAGGCAAATAGTTTCTCAAAGAATACTGTGCGTACAGCAGATTCAGATGAATGTGCCCCTGTACATATGGAGAAGATAGTTATAAACAGATACAGATGGTAGGGGGCTCAGGTCTAGAGTCCTCAAAACTTTTGACTTTAATGTTAACAAGAAACAACTGGTTGCTTTAACATACCAAGCACATGAGCAGAATGACCATCTTTGCACAGGCTTTCCCTGTGTGTGGTGCGTGCAATTGCCTCATCCATCTCTTGTTCAGAAACCTAAAAGACAAAAAAAAGATTAAAAAAATGAAAGGAAATTGTTTTCCTTTCATATATATATATATGCTGCTATGACACAGATCTATTATGGCATTCTTCAGCACAGCTCCAGGAGGGCCTTCAGATAGTTGTAGATTTATTTGGAAGAAAATCAATACAACCATCAGCACAGGTGATTAAAGTTAATGTTTCGTGTATTCAGTCACACAGTGAATCATGGTCAAATACAAAGAAAAAATAAATTAATTAAAATGAGAAGCTTGCTTATTGCATTTATTGTTCATATACACAAATCCTAAAGTTAAATTGTGTTATATTATTACTATGGCATCTTAGTGGGTATTGTAATGATTTAATTGAAAAAGCTGAGGTTCAGACCTCCAAGAACTCAAATGATGTCAAATGAAATTAAGTAAAATGTAGAGCTAAAATGAAACACTCTGACATTTGGTCAGAAATAGAAAATCATAAAATCACATTTCCTACATAATACTGGATATGACCACCAGATGGTGCCAAGCAATAAAAACCTATCTAGGGGATTCCTTTGGAGTACACACCGGTGTTGAACACAATGGTGCTAGTCCAACCATACCAATTATGCAAAACAAGCCAATTTCATAGTAAAACAAAAACAAAAATTACATTTTGTATGTTTTTGTGTGTAAATATGCTGAGCTACATTTTAGTAGTAAGGTCTTTGGACTTCAGATCAGATGGTCATGAGTTCAAATCCCAGATAGAATGCCTCTGGTCTACAATTAAAGAAGGTACTCATTGGTCACTGTTACAGCATGCAAATAAGTTGCTATGAGTACACAAGTACCTTGCAGTCCGGTAATCTGAATGACCAGTGCTGCACTTTGGTCCATTTACTCTTTACAAAATTTATTTGGCCGTGAGCTTTGGATTGTTGTTCAGGCTTAATCTTAGACAATGTCCAGACATTCTTAGACTGCGGGGCATTATTTCGGCAAAGCAAAAGCAATTTCTACAGTTACACAAAGGCTTCTGGCCTCTGAAGAGTGGCAGTAGGCCTAAACCAAAATAGAACTGCCGCTATTGCTTGACAGTACATACAATGAAACCTTTGACATGCTTTATCACCATCTGAAGTTCCGCTCTTGAAACAATTCAACACTGACTGAATGATCCATAAGATGCTGTTAAAAAAAACGTATCAGGCCTGTGCATCTGTAAATAGGCATATGCTAAATGCTTCAAGTATTTTCTTGACAAGAAGTTTGCACCTTTGCCTCACTCATTGATGTGTCACCTGCCTAGAGTGAACTTCTGCATTGTTTTCTTAGGAAAATATGATACACTTTCAAAGAAAACGTGTAGGTAAATTCTCTACTGTAAGTGTAGGGTTTTTGTGGACATATAGATCAATTCCTTTCTACTGCTTTTGAGGTTATCTTATGTGGTCTCCCAGATCTGTGAAGGGCTCTGATGTGTTTGTTCACTTGCACATACCTTACCTTGTTGTATGTCTAGAAAAAACACCCTTTCCCACCACCTGAGTATACATTTCAACTTTTCTGTTTAACTGTGCCAGTATTGGGACTTTCCAATTAAATCACCCTTAACACATTTAAGCCAAACTCAGTATCAGGTTTACAATGTTATCATTTCTTAAATATGCAAGATGTGCTAGGGATCACTGAAAATTGAACCTTATGAAAAGAATTCTTTGTCGCCTAAAGGAAATATGCTTTTTTCCATCATAAGTAGAGCAAATATTTTACTTCCTGTCAGTGCCGTAAGAGGATTGGAGTTTCAGGGAGGGGATATTAAACAAGCTAAATGTGAACACAGTAAGACAGAGCTAAGTATTGCTCATTAATAGAAAATATTATCAAAAATGTTAAGTATTTTATTAAAGTTAAACAGAAAGTAAAGAAGATCGTTATAAATATTAGATGTGTACAAAAAGCTGAAATTAAATTGAAAGTTGCATTTCAGCTAAAAGCAAACTGTCTTCAAAGGAAATGTCATTTTTTCAACTGATTTGGAGTCAACAAAAAGTATGTGAGACCTTAAACCTCTCTCTTCCATCTTAATGGGATACAAAGCAGGTAGTATATTAGCACACATCATAAGTATCCTACAGTATTTTAAATCACATAAAAATATATACTGACAAGGCATCTAAAAAGGTTAGTAGATCCATTACAACAGCAGTTGTTGCTTCAAGTGCATCATCGTACTTCCACTATTAAAACTTACAAAGTACAAATGAACACTGCCATATTTGAAGTTACCTTGTAAATCCCCAAAAATGCATGTTTCAATATCACATTTTTAGCAGACGTTTTGTGACAAAAAAGTATTCTAAATGGCAGAAAAAAGTACCTTTTTGAAACCAAATGACCAGTACTTTTCAGTCAATGTAAAAATCCCTGATAATAATGTCAGATGTTTTTTTTTTTTCCTCACAATTTCTGGTAGCTATTTATATTTTTACAGTAATGTTGAGGAGTGGGCATGTTTATTCTGTGATTTAATATATCTCCGACGGTATCAGCCTGATCATGGGATGAAACACTAAAGCTTACTTTGAGTAAGGGAAGGTATTAGCTTGCAACTAGTATGTGAGGGTATCACTTGCTGTACTGCTGTAGATTCTGTTCTCATTTCAGTGAACAAATAAAATTGAACAGTGAAAAAATAAATTATATTTTGTAGCAAACTGTAGCAATGTTGCAGGGTATGTGAGATTTTGCTTGTTTTCTTTCCTGTAACATATTTACATTTAGGACTCTTGTTTTCCATGTAGTTTCAGTCTTCTGCTTAAATTTCAGATAATAATCTTGTCCCATATGAGCTCCATATAGTGTTCAAAATTCAGGCTTAACTACTGAACATGAAGTTGAGGAATTTGTATGTATGAAAGACTTCATATGAATTTTATTTTGGGTATCCTCATCAAAAAGTAAGATAATTATGCATAATAATGGAATAAACACTAGTCTTCTTGTAGCTGAAAGAGATAAAACTAAAATATATTGAGCCCCAAAGAACTTCTGTGTATCAACACCTTAGTGTTATTTGTGGTTTCTACTATTATGTGCATCTTCTGATGAAATCCTGTTTGTCTGCGGCTGCTGGGACAAGCTGTTCTCTAAATGGGCCCTGGAGCTACGTGCATGCAAAGGTTATGCAGCACCCATGGGTGGAGAAAGGAGTGAATGAAGCCCCCTGTACTGGTGGTTTTTGGTGTCATGGGTGTCATGTGCTCAGGAAACTCCCAATCATTCCCTCACCTGGCTTGGGGGACAAATGAAGCAGAGCTGTCTTTTCATGTATTCTTTGTTATTACTGGCTGTTCAATAAAAAGTGCACTTGTGCCACTTTGACCTAATGTGAGTGCACGTCATTCATTCTAGAACCCACTAATGATTTGTGACCAAAACCAAGGAAAAAGTGTCAATAGTATTTCCCTTTAAACCCCGAAATTAGAGCAAGTTACAGCTGCTTCTTTACAGGATTACAGCATGTCTGATGTTTGAATAAAAACTTGACAGATATGACTATGAATTCTTCAATAACAGGTAGAAAGCCATTACATTAACCAGACCTGCCTCTGCAACCAATTACACTACTGACATGTTTAAAGGAGCACAGCTTGAGTACAAGCTTTCCTTCTATACGTTCTGAAAGGTATTTTTGCATTTTGGTTCTTTAAAGAATGAACATGGAAAACGAGCAATATACAGTAATTATTTGAACTGTAGCCAGTCTAAGTGCTCCTTCTGTGTCTACATTTGTTATGGGATTGTTCTTGACTGTCATCAAATACGATTTGCTATCCTTAAGAGACACGCACATTCACTTGGCAAGGGGAAAAAAAAATTAAGATGTCATCCAGGGCTTTAAAAAATCATAGGCAGCATGGACTTTCGGTATTCCCTCATTCTGAATAACACATTTATCTTTATGCACTCTTGGCCTCCAAAAGAACTATAGATATTTCTAGCCTGTGGCAGAAAAGCAGAGTGCTTCAACACAAACGCCATATGTAAAAAAATTAATCAAGTCTTACTTTTGGATTGGGATGTCGACTGATGATCAGACTCACAGGACCGGGCCCACACTCACTGAGAATGGCATAAGCTTCGCTCAGGGCAGCATGGCGCAGACTTACAGAGTCCACTTCTAGAACCTGGTCTCCACGGCTATCCATTGGGTAGTAAGAGAGGATGGAATTGGTTATCAAGTACTTCAGTCTCTTTGCAGTCCTAATGTCAACCTTTCCCGACATTGTGACTCGTTATACTTACAAGGAAACCGGCTTATCTTTAGAAGAGTAAAACATCAGTGGTTCTCAGATTGGGTTCTTAAGAAAATCTTGGGGGATACACCAGAAATCTTTTTCTCTAGCATGTGACATCTACCTTGTTTATACTTATCAATAGAAATTACATGACTCATTTATTCTGAGCCTCCAGCCATGTCATTACTGATTTAATTAACAGAAGTTATCAACATATTGATATAATACAATGAGTTAGCATTGGTGTCAGTTCAAAGCATCATACTGTATGCAAAAGAGTTTCCCCAAGTTCATACAGTCTAAAAATCTTTGATCAAGCTGGAAGAACACCATCTTTACCAAACCCACAGAACTAAGTGGTCGTTGAATACGGTGGGTGAATGAGTCTAAAAAGCTAACAAGATCATTAATAGCACTATATTTAGTGTTCTGCCTTCTCAGTGTTTATTTTGCTTCTTTTGGAATCCCTTAAGCTTACCTTGGGTTAATTCTATTTCCCAGCCAAAAACACAGTAAATCTTTAAATGATGAAATGAGGATAGCTGCTTTCAATCTGCATCTCAGTTTCTGAGGGCTTTGCTTCACCAAACTCTCAAGCACAGAATACAGATGCTACTGATTACTCAGTACTCATACTGTTTCACTCTAATTTCTGTTTACCAACTGATATATTACTCTTGCTGGAATTCTGCAAGTGTTTTGAGTCCAGCTCCAACCTTGAGCAGCCTTGGTGTTTGACGTTTCCCCTAAATCAGGACTACAATTTCTAATAAAAGGCAATAGCAAACGTTCATTCTTCAACTGACAAAGCTTGTAATTAAAAAACAAAAGTGGGAAAGATGCACTGGCATTATTCATGTGAGTGATGTACTTGTTACTAAGTAACACAAGCAGAATGAACAAAAAAAAGAAGTGACAGACCCAATTGCACGTTTGTATTAATTGTGCTGCTTCATTCATGAGGACAGTGAAAATAAACCTATGAGAAAAGCTAACTAGTCACAGGTGTTCAGTAAGTGGAAACACATGGGTTAAGATGTTTTGGAACTTGCTCTCTAAGATAAAGCAAATAATGGAAGATACATGGAAAATAATGGTTTTGTTTAATTGTTATTACTGCTCATTTCTTAGTAATTTAATGAGGATTTCAAACACCATGTCTGTCTCTGCTAAGATGGGAAAAGCATGCAGAATTCTGGCAGGAGTATTATTTTCAACCGAGAGTAGGTATAGGTAGTGTAACACAATTATGACTATATTACAATATTTATGGTGGCAAAAAACATACTAAAACCCTTAGTTAAACTGGGATATAGTGAGGTCTCCGACCCCTGATTACCATTTAAAGTGAGGTCTCTGTGTGATCTCATATAGTGCAGATGGGGGATAGTGCTTGGTTAATGAGTTGGGAAGATTTTTAATTGATAAATATACCCTAAGGGTGCAATTTAGAGTCATTCAGCCTAAGCAGCATGTCACTGTGTAAAGGCCGGAACACTCAGCAAAACCCTTGTGAGCACAGAAAAAAACATATAAACTTTACACAGGCAGGTACTCAAAGTTGGAATGAAACCCAGGACTCTAGAGCTGAGAGGCTGGTATGCTAAATCACCTTCTTATTGTTGGCAGAACTGAGATCTAGAAACTCTTGCCGACTTTACTTTCCTTGTTTATATGCTTGCTTATTTATTAAATGATCCATTCTTGATTCTAATTCTAATCATTCAGATCTCACAAAAACACAAGTATCCATTTAAAGAGACAAGTGTGTTTTTTTAATCAAGCTGGAATCAAATACAATGTATTCAATAATACATATTATTAAAAGGAGAACAGAACAGTGGCAAAACAAATGAAATGGCTAAACAACACAGTTTGTGCATTGTAGGATGTGCAACTGATTAAATACACACCAGTTTTTAATGAACATTACTATATTGTCTGGAAAACTACATAAATCTACCAAGCACACTAAAGCCCTATCAATTGCTCCTGAAATGTAATTCAAATACATCATTATTTTAGAAAAAACTTTGCATGGTAAATACATTAAGATTTCTAACTGTACAATACAGCGTATTGAAGGAGCAGCTCACCTTAGCCGGCCATCCATCTTTGCCACGGACCCGGGCGCAAGGCTATGAATATAGATGCCTGGAAAACTATTCTCCAAAGTGAGGCAACAGGCTCCAATTCCAAGTCCAACCCCTGGCTCTAAACATACAAGGACCAGGGCAATAAACTGTTAATTTGCATACCTCAGTGTATCCCAGACAGAATGCTTTACAGATTTGTTCATATACCAAAAGAAATAAGAAAATGTCATACAGAAGAACTGATTATTTTTATTCTGATGTTCTGTAGATTCTGATATACAGTACATATACTACAATAACATTCTGCTCTTGGAAGTGCAACGGAAGCCAATGGAACTATATAGAGGCCTCTGAAGGCTTCCTGTTTTCTTGGGGTCTAAAAGGAGGTAATTAACTGAAAACATTCAACATTCATAGCAGCAAGCATCAACATGGTAAGGTTCAGAAAGGTCTTCAAAGACTACAGGAAAGTGGTCTTTGACCTCCTCAAGTTGGGGGATGGAAATAAAATATCCACAAAAGGCTGAATCAATTCTAGTGTCCATAAAATGAATTTAAACTTATTGGTATTGTAGCAACCCTGCCAGGAAAAGGATGTACAGTAATTGTTTCTGATCACCCCTGGTTATTAAACAAGTGTATGTTTCCATTTCTGTCAGCTTCAAGATGCAAATTGTTGAAAACTACAATTTTAAGAGGCTTGCGTGAATTTAGTATTCCTAGCTAGGCTGCACTGAAAATGCCTCTTCTGAGGGCAAACCACAAAAAAAGAGATGACTCAGACTGAATAAATGTAATTTGATGAAAATTGAAATAATTAAATTACCATTTCATGGTCAGATGAAATGAAAAATAAACTTTTTGGACAGGCTCATTAGAGTTAAAAAAGATTAACCTCTTGCCCACGGTATTGTTTGGGGTCTATTGAGTTTTGGTGTTGTTTTGAATCTACAGGTCCTGAAACCTCAAGATAGGAAGATAGGAACTCCTGAACATACCAGGACATTCTGGCCAGACATTTGTTTGTTTTTTGTGCCAAGAAGCTCTAGCTTGGCTGGAAATAGATATTCCAGCATGACAATGATCAAAAGCATATATCCAGATTGGCAAAGGAATGGTTACCTGCACACAAATTAAATGACAGGCCATCTAAATCCCCATACCTCAGCCCAATTAAACTTGTTTTGAATTTGTAATTCAAACTCAAGATGGCAGTTTACTAATGGAACTGGGTTCAAAAAGTTTTAAGGACTTTGATCAACCGTACATGGATAAATGGTAAAAAGTTCCCCTCTGAAGTGCCAGAACTTCATACCACATTAGAGGTGGCATTTGGACACTGTATTTCTTGCAAGAGGTGACTTTGCTAAGTAATAACTATGGATGACCCTTGTGTTATCTGAACATAAATTGTTTATTTAAAACAAATATTGTTTTGATCTGAACATTGCTATTAATATTACTGTATATAATTTTACATTTTTAAGCAAAAAATATGATCCAATCTGTAAAACATTCCGTTATTTAAAATGCATTGTTCCAATTTCAACAGAGATATGAATAAATGTGCATAGCAATACCACATAAAGGCATATTGTTGAAAATCAAAACATTCAGTGATATGATTTTATACTCTGACTCTTCACCTATTAAATACATGTGTCCACAGTGTGTTTTTATTTTTCACCCCCTTTATTTTTTTAATTGCTCATAATATGTGCAGTATATAAGGAATCTATATTTTTATGCATATAAATTCCCATGAAGTGCAGGTGAGAGATGTGGGGATGAGAGAATAATCCTCACTCCCAGCATATTCTTGCCACTGAGTGATGATGATACATACTATAGATCAGTGCACTTTTGTTTTCCACTGATGGAATCCAAGTTTTTTTTTTTGTTTTATTCTTACTCACCAAGCCTAAACTATTATATACAGTATACTCAATCACAACCTGCAAGTAACTCCAAACCTGACTGCAATTTGTTTAATTTGATTTTCAAAACATTTAATAAATAACTAGTATTAATTTTAACAGTTGTCTTAAGCAACCCAGCAAGATGTAAATTAAATGTTTTCATAGCCATGTAGCTTACAAGGTGTATATAGATAAACTGTACAAGTACAACTGATTTATTTGAGAAAAGATGGCTCTAAAGTCAAAGAATGTATAATGTTTACAATAACAAAAAGTACTCTGCAAAATGGAATTGATATAATATTGTCATATCTTTTGATTTCTCATGCCTCTCAGACTTGTACTATATACAATATGTATGTACTAAAGGGGAACTGCAGTCCAAATTTCTCAGTCCGGATATTAAATCTTGGTAACAAAATATATTGACAGTATCACAAAATTTGACAAATTCCGAATTAAGCACAAAATCACGAACTTTTTGAAAGTACCATATAGTTGCCATGTTGTTGCTGGTCTCACCATGGGTGGGAGCGAGAGTCTGTGCAAATTGTGACATGAATGCCCCTTCCTGCTCAGTAGTCACTGTAATGACTAATGTAATGCAATATATGAGTGAATCAGTCCACGCTGAGCAAGCAGACATTTCATTGCAGAAATGTTTCAATGTGATCTAGACATAAAAATAACAAGTAGTATTTGTCGGCAAAACTGTCTCAAAATTGAAAGCAATAATTTGTATTGGATTAAAAGTAATGCATTCACAAGCCTGTTTGTTTACACTGTAATAGACCCACTTCGTGTCACCGGACGTTTTGCCCCATTCTGAATTACAATGACAGCAATATGGTGCTCTACATATCTGGAAATTTCTCCTATTTTGTGATGTAAAATGGAGGTATTACACCCTACTGTGTACATTTTACTTTTCATTGTGGTTTGAAATGCATTCATCAACATCGATTCTAACCTTGAAATATAAAAATAGCATTGCAGTTTCCCTTTGAGGTCTATATCCTCAGGGATCAGGTAAATATAGGACTTCGGGGCAAATCTGAAAGTTACTACATTTTTCAGTAGTTACTTTCATCCAATCTGACATATGCAGATATGTCTAAGATGTGAAAAAAGCTGAGTTAATCATGTTTCCATGTAAGTACAACAAACAATTGTGCAACTAAAATAACATACAAAACAAAATGACAAGAAAGCTAGCACTATCTAGAATAGAGTTACAATAGCCTAGGAAGGAGAACACCAGGGCCTGGAATAAGAATTGTGTAGAATAGTTGATAAGAAGAGGTAATGATGGAGTCAAGAGGAAAAGAGCAAAAGAGATTCACAGAGGGGAAGAAGGGAAGAAAAGGTGTTGGGCTTCGTGTTTAAGATTATGGGAGTTCAAAGACTAGCTGTGAGATAGGTAGAGTTACTGGGAGTAAAATAAAATCTGAGCATCACTGACATAAAAATCTTTGGGAAGGGAAGAGAGGACCAAGGGAGCAAGTGGAAGTGAACTTAGGGAAGATTTACCCTAACTTTGGGTAAGGAGCAGAGATGGAGCCTTACCAGTGTAACAGGTACAGTATGGGGGAACAAGGTGTAGACCATGCTAAAAAATCCTAGGTCAACAAGTGTTGCCAGGACAACAGAGTGACCCATTATGTGAAAGGCAGCAAAAAGGTCAACAAGGATTAAAACAGAAGACAAAGCAGAGTGAGGTAGAATGAGTTGAGTGAAAAGAATCAATAAGAGAGAGGAGAGAAGTTTCCATCTACTTAAGCAGTACAAGAGGAAAGTCAGAGAACTGGTAGTGGACTGTCAACTTGAGAATCTGAGAGAGAAAGGCCAGAGGAGAAATCATATGATAACTAGGGTTAAGGGATCAAGTGTGACTTTTTTCTAAAGAAGTGTTTTTGATAGGGGGAAAGCAGCGTGAGAGCAAAGAGGTGATTAAACAGAGGAATTATAGGAAAAGAGACTGGGGGCAGCAGCCATGAAGAGATTAGTGAGGGTCTTAAGTGCAAGTGATAAGTTTATGGCCCTCGATCAAGTAGGAGATGTCAGAGTTTGATGGAGGTGTGAAGGAGGAGAACAAGGCAGAACCAGTGAGGAATGTGGGATAATGTAGGGACTGAGGTGACTGAAAGCTGAAGTTGATGTGTTGAAGTATTTGTGCATATTAGGCATTTTAAAAGAGAAGGAAAGGTCATTGAGTGAGACAAAAAAAGAAGGGAGGACAAGGTGAAGAGCTTAAGAGAAATGTTGACAGAAATCCAGATTATAGATTGAAAATAGAAGTGCATGACAGAGACCATTGCTGAAGAGAGGGATGAAAGCAGAGTGAGATATAGATCCAATGTAGAAAGTAAAATGACCCCAAAGCTAGATATATTTGTGGTTAAACAGACTGCCTATACTAGGTATTTCTCAAAAATGCTTTCAAATGTAAAAAATCATAACTGCATACAGTTTATGGTTTGTGATCATTTGCGTAGCAAGGAATTCTTCAGTAAATAGAAGAATATTGAGAAAAGTGCAAGAATACTTAGGTAAGTAAAATGAATAAAAAATGTCTGTAAAATGTTATTTTACCATGTGACAATACTGTTCAACGAAAACTTTTTTAGAAACAGAAGATCACTTAAAAATAAACTTAGTCATTAATTATAATTGAATAACATGCCCTACATGTAGTTTAGATTACTCAGAAATGTAGAACCAGTCACAATTATGAATTTACCTAAACACTGATGAATATCGCTTGATAGAGTGGGGGTTTATTGTGGGGGATGTTAACTGGATGTTAGAGTTTGGAACATCCCTTTCATTTGTCAGCATCTGTTCCATTTTTCCTTCCTTTTCTGTTTGCAATAACCACATGAAGAAGTAATTCATCCTGAGACACTCTGCCTTCAATGAATGTGTATCAGCAGAATTGCAGCATACAACTAGCAAGTTTTACCAGAATGTTGCAAGAATGACACACTTGGTTCTTATAATCTAGCTTATGAACATCTTTGGTTGACTACACCTTCTGTCATCGCGATGCCTTCGGTTAAATGTCAGAATAGAATTATCAGTAGCAAATTCTGATTACCAGATGGTGTCTTTTGTTTATTTATTATGTTTTGGAAGGAAACTTGTCAATTCCAGGTAAATTCAAAATTCAGATAAAATGTCTCTGTTATTAAATTGTTTGTACTGAATTACCTAGCCCTATTTTCTTGCCCTTTTTTACTTCAAAATACTGAATGGCCCTACTTTACTATTACAATAGTATGAACAGTACTTGATGGTCACCATACATACGCACAGCAACATTTCACACTTAAGACCTTGTCTAGTCAGATGAATATAAGGGTATTTACCTTTGTTAAGAGTCACCTCCATGATGATACGGTCCTTCGGCCCAGGACCCTTCCTACAGGCAGCGTCTCCATCCTCGAAACTCGGAGGGATGGGGGTGCCCCCACTGGCATTGGAGTTGGGGGAGCTGGAGCGGCTAAGCAGGGTGGGGGTGGGGCAGGGTGTCAGACTGGGGCTCCGCAATCGGGTCCTCACTGTCAGGGTCACCACCCCCTTCTTTAGCTGCTGGAGGACCAATCCATCACATTTTAGAAAGACAGCTCACCTGTCTTTGTCCCTCCTTTTAAAGAGTCCTCCAAGAAATGTTGATCTCATTGTTTCACATATCCTTTGACAATTGTATTAAAAGGATACTTCTATAAACTCTTCGAATTATAGATTTCTCTAGTGGTTTAATAACTACCTAAATTATCCAGAAAGAATATGTTTCATATGTTCCAAAAAAACTGGATGCCTGTCACACTAATTGACCTGTATGTATATTTAATCAACAAAGTTGCTGTTGATTAAATATGTATTTGGTTTTCTGTATTATCTCCTCTGATTAATCTGAATGAATTTGTGCCCTCCTTTGACAGGACCCATACGTGTGCTTGTTGCATCCTAATTGGAACAGAAAGAGTTAACCCTAGTCATCCCTTGCCTCTTCCATCTTCTAAAACACTCCCATTGTATTACAATGTTAGCTCTTTTCATTTAATGTGATTGACGGACAACAGACGTACAAGACAGGACTTATCATCATTATCCCAAGTTTGGCCAACCACACACTACAGAAATCAATTACCTCAAGTAAAGGCTGCTATACTAAAGATTATAGTATATTCTTATAGATTATAGATTATAGTGTTTTTTTTATCACATTGTCTGCCAACTGCAATGGATTTACAACAGAAAGCAATGTAAATGTATTGGGTTTCAAATTGTGTGTATGAAAAACTAAGAGAGCTATACACTTGAGCATTCCACACACGTTCATCACCCACATATCATGCAGCAGGTATATTCTGTTCTTAAAACTGACAGCTTTTGTTTTCCACAAATGTTTTGGCTCTACCAGCAAGTCTCTAAAATAGACCACAGATTCTCCAATACTTGTGCTAAGATAACGGATTGGTTTGCCAGTCATACAATCTGGCAAAACACTTCATAGGTGAGTTTTCTCTTTTGCGGGAGGTTTTTTTGTTCTGCCCTCAACATTCTTCACAACATCTCATCAAAAGAATATGACAGCAGTTTGAATGCAGTAATATTGAAACACTCCTGGCAGAATTGTCCTAAATCTCTAACAGAATTAAAATAAAAGCACTCATCTTAAGATTCCAAAAGCCCAGGACAAGTAAAGTGAACTGACAAAACTCTCACAATAGTGCTGTAGAAGACAACTTTCAAGTCACTTCTTCAGAAACATTACAGTTGACTTTGCTTTCCGTTAATTTACCAGTTACATCAGAATATAAGAGGTGTTTTAATAAACTGTAAGAATTAAATACTACTAGCATAATACATTGCATAATAAATCTAATCAATTCACTTGCTGTACTTTCATTTGAAAAAAAAACTGCAATATAATGTACAATATTCATACTGTATCAACACTCAACTGATTGAACTATTTACTTCTGAAATAACCCAAAGATAACAGTTCCTCAAACCATAAGAAATACTTTAATATGAATCCCACCACGTTATATTTCAGACCTTATTTTACAGAATTATTTCTTCTACAGTTATTTATTTCTGCTTTAGGAAAAGTTTCCAATGTTTTTGGGAGCTTGGGTTTAATCGCTAACAGGAATTTAAATTTTAAAAAAGGAATCATGTTGTATTAAATCTCACTTTATACTGTACATCAGTGTGCAAACTTCTTTACAAACTTGATTGTTTCTGCTATAACAGTTCCATGCAAGGTCAAACTCTAGAAAAATATAAAATTAGACAACTTACTATATTGTATACAGTATTAGGCTAATTCTTTTCAGACACATACAAATAGAGAAAAAATACACAACCACTTAAGGTAAAATGCAAATGATTGTTTTAGAAAGATGATCTTAGTCATCTTCACAAAATAGATGATATCAGGGATGAGCTTTCAGGAAGATTTTTTCTTGCTTATCATGCCTTTCCAGCAAAGAAGAAGCAGATGTGGTAACTTAGTGACTTAGTTTTTAATTTGTTTCCTGAATCATTTGGTTCAAAATATAGGTATTTTTTACTTGTTTTTGATGTCAATTATATTGTGAAACATTTCTTAAAATTTGTTTTTTTGTACACGGCTTAAATTAATTTAGAATAAATTTGCACTGAACAGCTAGAAATGTGTACATATACACACTGATTTTTTAAAGACATTGTCTTCTAATACAACATAGGATACACAAAAAAATAGATTTAAAAATACAATTACTTAAAAAACTATATTTGTATGGTCTTTACAACAGGAAGAAAAGATGTTTGATGTTCATACTTGAGATCACATACAGTCCCTAATGAGTCTACAGCATTAACGTGCTTCTGCTGTTGACATTCAGAGGAGAGTCTGCCATGTACAGTAGTTACCTTAAAGGTCTGGATTGCCTGCTGATGAGTCAGGCCCTGCAAAGACTCGCCATTTACTTCTAGGATTTCATCACCTGAGAGCAAGACAATAGCAGACAAAAGCAGTTACTATGACACCTCAAAAGAAAACATCTAAGACATTTCTTGTAAATTATAAAACAGACATTTTAGGTAGATAATGATATAATTGCTGAGAAATATCTTTGGTTATCAGATATGTACAAGTGGAATTTTTAAAGAAACGTTTTTAAAAGTTTTTTTTTCCTTAAGTTGATAAGACCAAAATTTACATTAATAGTTCAAAGGGTCTTTTTCCATTAGAAAAATATAAAAAAAGTTCCATAACTAATAGGATCTGAGAAATACTTTGAGCTTCCTCTAGATATCTCTAAAATCATATTCAATAAAACTTTTATTCTTACTTTTATTACAGCCAAAAGTGCTGATGCTGAAAAGTATTGTGACTACAGAGGCCTGCAATATTTAAAGCAGTGGATTATGCAGTTTTCCCACAGCATTTGGGAGTCAACGGTATATTATTCTCCTGCATTAACATATGACCACGCATAATGTGCAGAAGTGGTTCTGTTGTCCAATTTGGGGTGCACATTGTGGGCATTTGATGTCTTGAAGGATGAGACATTTAGAACTGGAGTTAAGCACATGACAGTGGAGATGATAATTATCATCCCCATGGCCTGACATGCACAGCCATTGTACAGAGCACGTCCGTGTTTTTGCTTACTCAGTTTTGTGACAGGTCTTGTGTTGCTTACTCAGCTCACTTTGACCATAATTTGCCCAAAGCAAGGTCCATTGTCGGCCTGTCAGAGTTGCTTATTTTAATATGGCAAGTCTCTCCATTTTCTTTAACCCATGAAGCTTAATGTCTTAAGCCTCTGTTTGGAAGGATAGTCTTTAAAGTAACAGCCTTAGACTGACCTTTTGGTGGATAGGATTTTTTCATAAATCTATTACACATCTTTTTTTTCTACAGATGCCTTATCGCGTCTTAGGGCCAAGTTTGTATTCTGAATACAAAGGGGATATTCTAAAACAGACCCTCTTTAAGCCTTCCATCTGCTGCTGCTGCTCCATTGGGAAAAATGGTCTTGACAAAAATTCCCATCCGTCCACGAGCAGAGTCCTGGCCACCAACAATGCTAAAGCCCAGACCCTACCACACAACAGGAAATTAAAAAAAACAACAGATTTGCACAGAATTTCTATTTACAACATACCTACATAATCTGTACACAAACGATCCAGACTATTCTGGAGGTTTGGCATTTATAATAGTAGTTTTGATACTGCCATTCATAATTAAACGATGAACAGATGCATAGAATTTCTTAAAACAAGAAAGTATTATCAAGCTTAATTTCAGATTGTACAAAAAGATCAGTTTACTTTTAAGTGTGTGTATAGTCTATATGTCTGTAAATCTGCCAAAGCAAATTAAGGTATAATGGAATATTTACACATCCTACAAGTGTGAAAGAGAAATAGCTTGCACGGAAAATGTCTACTTCAAAAATGCATTAGGCAAGAAATGGCTCACGTTACTCTATATGACTGAAAGCATCCCAGATGTCAAAATAACACAGTTCTGAACCAACTTTTTATTTGATTTGATTTTACTTCATTTTATTTCAAATAGAAGGAAATTTCTTTATTCCCTCATTTGCAAATTCAAAAGACACTGATACATTTATCAGGCTATTTAAAAGGAACCTAGCCCTTGGGTGCGGATACTTCTGTTCACCAATCCCAATGTTGTATGTGGAAAACCTACGCAGAAAATGGAGATGAAGTGAAAAGAAACTGGATGCTCACCTTGCCTTGTCCTTTCATGAGAACTATATTGGAGATAATAGATGGCTGGGCCAGTCGCCATGGAGACTCCACTTGAACAGTGCTTAGGGAGCGTGCTGATTTCTTCACTATTTGATACTCCTGTACAGGGTAAATAAACACAGCCCCAGAGGAAATGAACTCAGTGCTTAAGCTCTGAAAGCAACCCACTGTAAATGTGTGTATATCAATCTTGGAAAACTGCTTCATATGGCACAACATTTTTGACAGGCATGGCCTGCATGTAGGATCTCCCATCTCATCTGTTTGTTTTAGGCCATGGCTTGTGTGTACAGAAAATATCAAAAAGTTAAAGAACTATAACACTAGAGGCCTAGTCCAAACATTGCCAATTGCTCAAAATGATGTCTACTGTATGTCTGCAATGTATAAATGAAACATATAAAAAACATTGTACCTACAGTTATTTCTCACTAATGTATAATTATGTTTTATCAACAAAATACCTCCAACATTCCGTTTTGCGACCTTAGGGAACCAATGACAGACATGGCATTCACCATGACAAAGTGTCATGAGGACAAGACTCACATTCAGTGCTGCAGGCGCCTAGCAAGCCACAAGATTGACTGCTGTGCCATGAGATGAGAATCCCTCTGCCGATTAAATCCAGCCCGGGCCTAGAAGCACTGTGGCCCATTTCACAGTGCAACCTACAGTTTTCTTCAGCATATAGTTTGTGTTTATGTAATGTGGGCAGAACCATGTAGCTGACTTACAAACAAAGACCAGTGCCCCAAATGGCAACAATAAAACACTCATACAGTAACAATTAAGGAGTTACAGACCAGCACTTGCATACTTGTATATTGCCAGCAATTAGCTGTGTTTTCATATAATGCAGGTTTGTGCACAGGAACAAGCATAGGTATTTACCTGCATACCCGCTGTGGATGTATAATAAAGTGTATTGTAAATTATATTTTACTTGTGATTTATCCTTTATGGATAAAAGGTCCATAAAGTTAAATAATTAACATAGAATGGAGTGTTTTTATTTGAAGCTGTATTATCCCATATAGCAGACAGACTATTCAGATTATATTTGGAATGGATAAGAAAAAGTTTAAATGCAGGTCATATTAACCTTTGGTTTCCTTTAAATGTATACAGTACGCGTATTCAGAAAAAGTCAATAAATCACCTAAGAATATTTCAGAGAAGCACCATATCAATGGGGCTTGTATTTTATAGTCTGAGTTTTTATATTACAAAAACGTTGTTGAGGAAGGACAGTTATGACTGAATTTATTTTTTATATGTGTATTCATTTTAAAACCAAAGCATGGGGAGGGCAAACACATGTAAAGCACGCAAGAAAAAAAAATTGGAATCAGTGCGTTGTCCTTTTCACTTTTTCATTTCATTCTTTTCTTACTCATTTAATGTTCAACTAAACCAGGATGCATTATTCTTTTACTATCAAGATATCAAAAGCAGCCTGTGTTCTTTGTAAAATACCATTTCTATTTTTAGATATAGTAAACATTTTGGGTTAGTAAATAAAAACCTACTAAAGAGAAATTACAAACATTTACAAGAATAACGATAAAAATCGTGAAAGCGAAGGATTTCATCAACAACCCTCCCCCCCCCCATATTTATTAGTTGTTAATAAAAAACAATTATTATATTCTAATAACATGGAAAGCTTAATAAGAAATTATTTAACCTGTTGGGACCCTATTAAATGTGAAAACAACCTGTTAGAGCAAAACTACCTGTTGAAACCTCAAAGACTAAAAATTGTCAGAATAAAAACTATTCTACGGCTTGTCATGATTGCTTTTTATGTCTTAAGATGCTATTAGCACATATATATATTACTAGTTCAGGTGGGTTGCAAAAGAATAAGGAAAGGTTTATTCCATGCTGAAAAGAGAAGAAAGAAAACACAACATTTCAGCTGTGGAGCCTTCTTCGGGTGTAAGAAAGATGAAAGATATAAGAAATAGGTTTATTCCATGCTGAAAAGAGAAGAAAGGAAACACAATGTTTTGGTTTCTTCTCTTTTCAGCATGGAATAAACCTGTACTTGTTCCTTTGCAGCCTACGCATGCTGACGCCGCTACCCACCTGAACTACAGAAGATGAAAGATATATATTACTATACATGCTACAACAAAAACAACACGCTAGAAATAATGATTTCAATTGCGGGAGGGAAGGCAGCATTTTGATATCTGTAGCCACAACTGCATAACAATAAATGCTTGGTTTCAGAAAGAATACAAAACAATAAGTAATATGCATTGCTTTCATAATTGACTTTATTAGAGATCTGGCACAAAATAGCATTCTTAACATTAGTTTTCTGCTTGGATACATCCCCAAGTGGGCTTTTTTAGAATTGTTTACTTTAAGGCCATGGAGATGGAGTTTGGAAAAAAGGCGCATACAATGAGGGATCAATTTCATTTACAGTTCCTCTCCCTGAACTTTATCTTTAAAAGTGTTTTTGAAAACCTAAGCATAAAAGCAAGAAATAAAATCACACAACTACTACTGCTGTTTTTTTGTTGCTCGTGATACAATGACGTCTTATTGCGCTAGTCACTGTCCTTGAAGCTATTTACAAATATCTGGGTGCAAGTCCCCGGTGGTCACAACCAATCCCCCCTAGAGACAATGGAGACAAGCAGCAGTTTCAATTAGCTTTTACAACAAAGATTGAAGAAATGAGACAAAAGACACAGCTGGCAGCAGAGGCACACAGAACAAGTCCCACTAACCCTCCTCAGTTTAAATATTATGGTCTTATTAGGCAATTACCAATTAGCCTGTAATCAAACAGACATAAATTTTGGTGGTCTGAATATCAAAGTGATAAATTTGATGTGACAATTCCAGCTCGTATGATGAAGCCATTTTGCTATTCTAATAAAAATCAGGCTCTGATGGTTCTGTTCTGCTCACTAACTGAAGCATACTACTGCCTCTCTTAAAGACTAAATTTAAACCAGATATAACAAAACAAGAGTTGTTTCCTATGTTTGTTTGTTTAAAATGCCCCACAATGTGTTGAGTATTTTAGTAGTGGCATGCACAACACAGATGTTACTAAACACTGTCCTTTAAGTTATTTTAGCCTTTGTTTCAAATGAAATTGGGTTACGGTTTTAATAATCGGGTTGATGGTGTATACAGTACATTATCTTTTTGTGGTTTAAGTTCATTCAATACCTGTCCAATTTCAGTGAAATCTGTATCAAAAATTGAAGTTACAGCACAAAATTAGTTGTTTGAGTATGTCAGTGCCTGAATAGTGCAGTTATCTATTGGGCAATTTATTATTTAACAACTAATCCTTTCTAGTACAGTATATTAAAAATGGGTCAGCTGACTTCGTTATTAAAGTCAGCTTTCAGAATTTAAATATTGCATTATCAAGGTACAATAAAAATTAAATAACTAATTTGCTGTATGCATGAAAAATACAACAGCCTAATTAACATGAACATTTTTCAAAAGGGCTCCTTTAATGCTGTTATATGTCTACCTATTCCAAAGAAGCCTATTACTAAGCAAGAAAAAGTTATGTTTTGAAGATAAACTTAGAAGGCACTAAGCGGGTACACCCTGAATAGGATGCCACTCTATCACAGGGCAAACCAAAACAGAGACACAAACACAATACACCAGGGATAGTTTTCCAAGAAGTCAATTAACTTATCAGTATGTTGTGACATTGTTGGAGGAAACCCACACGACCACAGGAAGAACATACAAACGCCACAAAAAAAGCAGCCCAGGTCTGAAATTGAACCCAGGGTCCCAGTGCTGCAAGGTAGCAATGCTAACTACTGCTCCACCGTGCCACCCAAGTTTTCAAGATCTAATCACTTAAACGTCGTGAATTCAGAAACTCTTGCAGGCAAATTCACAGCAATTATTTTGCTTCTGTCAGTATGTCAAAGAAATGTATTTTACTGCAGCTTGTTTCATCTGATTGTAGTAGTTAACGATGACTCTGAACCCAATCCTGATTACATTAGTAAAGGCATATGGCTATGGAAGTCTGGTTACGCCACAACTCTTTTGTCCCACTTCACAAATTCTGGGGTTCTAATCAAATCAGTTAAGAAGCAGAAGCTGTCCTCGAGGTTCACTAACGTGCCGGAGACACATACCCAGAACATACCCACCTGTCGAATGCCCACAGTGTCGAGCTGCTGAGGAAGAGAGTGTTTGCGTCCTCCCCGAGACGGTTTCTGAGACATGTCACAGCCAGCCTCCCCATTCTCTACGATCAGCTCGTCATCCTCTCCGACTGACTCCAGACGACTGCCTCCACCTAGTGGGTCACAGTCAGCGATGGTTATTCCTGCTTTAGCAGATGCTTTTTAACTTATAGTTGATTCTTAATTTGCACCGGTGCCTTCATTTTTAATGGACTGTATTTTTTCTATTTAATACAAAAACAATGCAGATCAGGAATTAGGAATGATTACACAGCTCAAGTCACTTTATCTAGTTATAAGTACTGATAGGGGAAGAATCACATTTTACTAAAAACACGACTTCATTAACATTGCCTTCTATTATTAATTGTAACTCATTTGGCCTCTGCCCTGGCATACACCCTTTAAAATTCAAAGAGGAAAATATCCTGATGTTAGTTTAGCAAAAGGTCATGTCTTTTGTAGGCTATTCTAGGGTTTTTATCACTCTGACCTTGGGATCGGCTTCGAAATTTCATCGGAGTGGGACTGCGACAGCATCCCTTGTGCCCTTCTATCCTTCCTCGGTCCTCAAGCTTGTCAGCCTCTGTAACCTGCATCAAGGAGGCATCACAACACAAGTGGCACAAAGACCGCCAACCAGACAGAGCTTGTAGCCACTTATACGTGAGTATTGCTGCAAAAGGAATTAATAAATCAGCTAAATTTCACTTTCAAAGGTCAACTATAATTTTGGATTAAATAATAACATTACTCCATCAGTTGTACCTGCAGGCAGCCACCTGGTAATGTTTTGTATTAGGAAAAATTCAGAAACCCTTAAATTCATTTAGTGCATATAAACTTCACAGCGCTAGCCTATATTCATATTGTTTAACATGAAAGTAAAAAATATGATTTTTGTTCCATAATAAAGCCAGCCAAAAAAGAGAGTTAAAAGCTTCCATTCAGTCTGTTGCAAAGCAAACATGTTTCTGATCTGTGGAAAGACTTTGGAGACCTCTTAATCTACATGACAAAGAGCAGAAGCTAGATAGAATTCCAATATTTACATTTATTGCTTTTAGCTTCATTCAGTTTTGTGTTTCTTTTTTACCACAGAGAGACGCTCAAAATAGACTAGTGATTTCGTCCAGAGTGACACAAAAAATACAATAAAATAGAAACAGAATAAATTAAAAATCTGTCAGAGACTTTATAGGTCTTTAGAAACGTACATTAATTTAGGATAATTATTCTAAATCATACCAGTATAAAAAAGTTACCTTCTACCATGACTATCATTCTGTTTCCCTATAGCATGCATAACTTGCAAGTTATTACACTTAATTTTGTAAAGACAGCATGGTTAACCAAGTGAAGTCAATCAGGGCAATTGCTCCAGGCCCCACATACAGTGGTGTGTGTGCCAGACTTAATGTCTTACATTTAGCCAAATAAGTGGGTTGTACAATGTCCTTGATGGTTAATTTCGCCATTCTGAAAATGATATTCATTGTATTTTATTTTTATAGCCTTCTGCTGATGTGTGCCTTTCTACAACTATACCATGGAGTTATTTTGAAAGGTACCTGGTCTTTGTGGTTAAACCTTTACTTGAGATCCACTACCTGAATGAAGAACCTCACAGTTACAGGTGCACTTATTCTAAAATTATGTTAACTACCATTATTGCACAGGGACAGAGGTCATTCAACTGTGTGACATGTCAAAGTAATCTAGTTTTCCATAGCAAAGCAGGGGATGAAATCTTATAAAATCAACATATTTTAGTTTTTGCTTTTAGTTTGCATATTTTGCTGTCATTTATCTTATTTCATCCATAAAAGCATTCTGTTTAATCACCTCAGGTTTGATTAAAAATATTTACTTTTAAAAATGTGTAGACATGAATTCCATAAAAGGGCAGTTCAACAAAATGGACCATCATGGGAGGGGAGTGCATCTTTTTGCATGATATATACTTGATATATCATTTACGTTGAATAGAATTTGCTACAATCTTGTTCACCTGTATAAATTATTAAGGGGTGATTTCCTCTAGATCCTACATGCTAATTATAATGTTCATTTATTTTATATCAATAATATCCCTTCTAATCTTATTGAACACTCATACATTAGAATTTTTTAATCAAACATTAATAGAGCAGCAATAAATCTATTTTTTAACTGACAAGATTGCTCATATGGCACTCATTAATAGCCAGGGATAATTTGCCAATTATTATTTTAAAATACTTAGATTAATGTACTGACAACAGACACATGAAAGCAGTCTCTTTTGAAAAGTCCACGATTGATCATTGTCACAAGATGGTGAATAGATACTATATTATCGTATTTTAAAACATTATTCTATTTCACCAAGGAAGAAGATCATTGTATGATAATAACCCCAAGGAAACGTCAATGAAATGTTTGAGAGTTTTTAGTTTTGTATTTGTTTCACATAAGATGCATTTGAAAAATGACTTACATAAATCTACAGATGCAGCCATTCAAAATGGGTGGGGTATTTCGCGGCATACCCCGGTGGGCGTGTCGCGGTATCACACAGTATAGTTAATCGCATCTTTTGACATCATGCCGGAAAGTATCCGGCATCACCTTGTAAAACTGCCAGGGGGAGCTTAACCTCTCATGTACAGCATTTGA